AATGAAAATTATCAAAAATTCGAAAATCCGAATTTCTTAAAATTCAACATTTTTTCTTCTCTTTTATGGGATTTAGCTTCATTATTTTTGTGCTTTTGGAAAATACTTTACTTATTAAATTGTCTCGACTCTTTGGTAAAAAATCTAAAATTAATGAAAATTATCAAAAATTCGAAAATCCGAATTTCTTAAAATTCAACATTTTTTCTTCTCTTTTATGGGATTTAGCTTCATTATTTTTGTGCTTTTGGAAAATACTTTACTTATTAAATTGTCTCGACTCTTTGGTAAAAAATCTAAAATTAATGAAAATTATCAAAAATTCAAAAATCCGAATTTCTTAAAATTCAACATTTTTTCTTCTCTTTTATGGGATTTAGCTTCATTATTTTTGTGCTTTTGGAAAATACTTTACTTATTAAATTGTCTCGAATCATTGGTAAAAAATCTAAAATTATCAAAAATTCGAAAAATTTCAAAAATCCGTTTTTCTTAAAATTCAACATTTTTTTCTCTCTTTTATGGGATTTAGCTTCATTATTTTTGTGCTTTTGGAAAATACTTTACATATTTAATAGTCTCGACTCTTTGGTAAAAAATCTAAAATTATCAAAAATTCGAAAAATTTCAAAAATCCGTTTTTCTTAAAATTCAACATTTTTTCTTCTTTTTTATGGGATTTAGCTTCATTATTTTTGTGCTTTTGGAAAATACTTTACATATTAAATTGTCTCGACTCTTTGGAAAAAAATAAAAAATTATCAAAAATCCGAAAAATTGAATTTCTTAAAATTCAACATTTTTTTTCGCTTTTATACCATTTAGCTTTATTATTATTTGAATTTTTATTCAAGAAAAAAAAATGGAAAACTGAAAAAATTTAGAATTTTTTAAAAATTACAGGCCTTTTCCATGATTTACAGAAGCCTTTTAAAAATTCCATACCATTTCCATGATTTCCATGATTTCCAGATTCTGTAGGAACCCTGCTTTTGTCTGACTTTCTTCTAAATTATCGAATTCAGTGATTTCTGGGGTGAATTTGGTTAAGTTGTAAAATGATTAATTTCTATTTGAATTCGTTTTTTTTGAATGTAGAAAATCTGATGTTAATTTAATTCTTTTTTCGTTATGCACGGCAAAAAATATTTAGCTGGATGAACTACAGATTTCACTTTAGTAGCGAAATTATTTAGTGCTTCAATTAATACTTTCGTTATTCTAGAGAAACTTATCGCTATTTCAAGTAAAACTTTTTTCAGTGTGTAATAATTATTATTTCTTTAAAAAGTATTCAATTTAAAATGGCTTTATAAAATAAGCAATGCAAAAGATGACCCAGATACTAATTGTAATTGTTCTAGCCATAGTTTAAGTCTAGTAATGTAAATTCTATTTAAATTGAGACCATTGAGTGAAATTATTTGAATTTTAGTTAGTTAAATCTCTTTGTTAGGTTATAATAATTATTTCTTTAAAATTTTTTAAATTGTTTAAAATAAGCAGCCCCATACAACATTCCCGCGCGCTTGCGCGCGGATAGTTTGGCTAGTAATTTTAAAAAATTGAAACAACTGAAAATTTTGTCATATTTCATTGAAATTAATTTTATATTTTAAGAAATTTTATATTTTACTTCTGAAAATTATTTTGAAAGAAAATCGTATTTTTGAAGAATCCAAATTGAATGTTTGGAAAATAGTTGAAGTTTAAAAAAATTTAGAAATGAACTCATTACCAGGATAAGGAAAGAAGTTAATATTCTTTCTGGAAATTAGAAAAATACGTAATCTAATTTTTGTGATAACCATGAATGAAATGAGTTCCCTTTTTTGCTCATTGAGTCGACTAAAACGAGTTTTTTCAGTCGTCAAATTAAATTTTTAGATAGCTACTTTTTTACTGCTTCTTTTCAGTCTTAAATCTACTTCTTGTTACTTTTTTTCAATTAATTACCGCAAGTGCAAAATTTGGATTGTTTCAATGGTACTAAAAAGTTTAATTTTTTAATCTAAAAAATAGCTTACATTCAAATTCTAACTAGAACTATCTTGGCGATTTAAACAAGAGTCGCTTAAATAATTCTTAATTTTGTTATTGATTTAAAAAAAACTGTCCGAAAAAATATATTTTTTAAATAATAAAGAATTTTCATTAAATTTGAAGAAGAAAAAGATTTTGTTTTAAAATTAATTTTAATAAAAGAAATTTTAATTCTATTGTTATTTGGTCCTGAAAATAACTTTCAGTTTGAAGTTTTATTAAAACTGATTGAACATATAGAGTTACTTAAAGCTAATAAACACAAATGATAAAATTGATTTTTTTATTAATAATAATAATAATCCTGGCAAATCGTTTCTAGATGACATTTTATTCAATCCTTTCATTTGCACTGAAAAAAAGCATTTGATACGACTTATAGTTTTGATTTGTAATTTTATAGAAATCTGTAAAACTTGGTCTTTAAAAAGCACTCGCTCTTGTGAACTTAATACTTTTAAAGTAGCACTGTTTCAACTTTTTGTAAATTTACCACTTTCAATGTAGGTAATAAAAAGGCCTATTTATTACCTACTTTGAAACAAAAAGTTGTGAAACTGCTACTTTCAAAGTATTAAGTTCACAAGAATGAGTTTAAACTCGCTACTTTTAAAGACATAATTTTACAGGCTTTTTTTTAAAATTACAAATCAAGATTGTAAGTCATATAAAAAGTTTCTTTTTTACTGTGTGAATATTGAAGAATATGTGCTTTTGATTTTTTTTTTATAACGGTATTTGATTTGTAACAAGATTTAAATTTTTTGTAGTGTGACAAAAATATAATTACTTCCGTTTATTTTTTTCAATAAAATTTGATTATAAAGTTTATTATGTAAACACGAAAAAGGCAATTAGGACTAAAATCATAACTTGATAATGAATAAAATATAAAATTTAATTTTTCTTTTCCATGAATTTTCCTTGATATTCAGATGGAATTTTGACTTTTACTCTGATTCAATTTTAAATTTCAAAATTCAATTTAAAACAATTTTTGGAAGTAAACAATTGATTAAAAAACATTGAGGACGTCTATCTAAAAATTTATTACTATAACGAACTTTTCCCGATTATTTTCAAAAATTTCAATACTTGAAGAAATTCAATTATTCTTTATGGAATTTTTAGAAAATTTCCATCATTTTAGAAAATTCTAATTGTTTATAATATAAAAATTTTTAATAATATTTTTCAAAACTTCAATGATTTTAAAAAAATGTTTAATTTATATTTTTAAAATTAACTAATTACTAAAAATTTTAATTGTAACTCTTTTGAAATTAAATTATTTTACATGCATTTTTATTTTGTCAATTGTTAAATTATAATTCTTCAAAATTATTTTTATCATTTCAATTCAATTAACATTTTTTAGAATTTTTAACTAAAATTCTACTTTAAATCAATAACATCAATTATTATTGAATTAAACTTTTCCAAAAAAATTAATTCTACAGAATTGTTAGTTAAAAAAAGTACAAAAAACAATAATTTAATTCTACGAGAAATCAATTATTTTAAATACAAAAATAAATAATATTGAATGTTTCTTAAAAATTTAATTTCTACGAAGAATTGTATTATCAACTTTTGGAAATATTTAATTTCCTTTAAGGCATTTAATTAAAATTTTAATGAAATTTATTATATTAAAGAATTTTATAACAATTTTTGAAAATAATTGAAAACTTCTTGAAGAATTTTATTAAATTTTTAAAAATAATTGAATTCCTGAGAAGAATTTAAATAATAATTTTTGAAAATAATTAAATTCATGAGAAGAATTTTATTGAAATTTTTGAAAATAATTGACTTCTTGAGAAGAATTTAAAAAAAATTTTTGACAATAATTTAATTTTTTAGAAGAATTTCACTATCGATTTATAAAGATAATTTAATTCTTGATGAGAATTTTTAAACAATTTTGAAAATAATTGAATCCCTGTAAAAATTTTATAATTAAGAGAAGAATTTCCCAATCAATTTATAAAGATAATTTAATTCTTGACGAGAATTTTTTAAAAATTTTGAAAATAATTGAATCCCTGTAAAAATTTTATTATTTATGAAAATAATTGAATTCTTGTAAAAAATTTTATTATTTATGAAAATAATTAAATAATTGCGAAGAAATTTATAAAAAAAGTTTGTAAATAATTGAATTCCTTGTGAAATTTTTATTATTTTATGAATATAATTCAATGTTTGCGCAGAATTTTATTAAAATTTTTTTAAATAATTGAATTCTTTTGGAAAATTTTATTAAAATAGCCGATATTAAAAATCATTGAATTGAGGAAAATCTTTGAAAATAATTGAAAGTTTTGCCGAGAATTTTTTAAAATAATTGAATTCTTCCAACGAATTTTATTAAAATTTTTAAAAATAGTTGAATTCCTACAAAGAACTTTATTAATTTTTTTTAAATAATTGAATTCTAGCGAAGAATTTTATAAAATTAATTTTAAATAATTGTTTTTTTTCGAAAAATTTTATGAAAATTCTGTTTAAAAATAATTAAATTCCTGTGGAAATTTTATTATTTATAAAAATAATTGAATTTATAAAAAGAATTTTATTAAAATTCCTTAGAATAATTGATTTTATGGGAAGAATTTATGCAATTTTGTTGTTAATTGAAATGTTGCAAAAAATTTTATTTAAATTTTTGAAAATAATTGAATTTTTGGCGAAAAATTTTGCTATTTATAAAAATAATTGAATTCCTGACGAGATATTCATTAAAATTTATAAAAATAATTGAATTCGTGCAAAGTATGTATTTTATTAAATTTTTTTTAAATAATTGAAATTTTGCCAAGAATTTAATTAAAATTTTTTACAATAATTGAATTCTTGAGAAGAATTTTGATATTTATCGAAATAATTGAATTTTGGAAAAGAATTTCATTAAAATCAAAGGAAGATTAGGTAAATTCGAATAGGGTACAAACCTTGCCGGCAGAATCTTTCACTTCTTTGCTAAATAGAAGATAAAGTTCAAAGAGAAAAATGTGTCGATCTCTGCCTTTTCTGATTAGTTGCTTAGGATCCCAGACTGTGAATGCGTCTTGAAGGACTACGTCTCCTAGAGTATCTAATCTCACGTCGCATCCCTCTAGTAGGCTTAAATGTAAGGCATCGTTTGCTTTTTTAGGCACATTCAGCATCACTTCGAGGCCATCTTTGATTTCTCCCTGACCTTCTTGGCAACAGGCCTAAAGAATATTTTATTTTCAAAAATTAAGCGAAAAATTACATTTCAAATCACAATTATGTCAAAAAGAAAATGAAAAATTTTCCAAATTACCTGAAGGTCTTTTAAAAGTAATTGATACTTCGTAATCCTCTGCACTGGTTTGATTAAGTACGCGGCAATCGGATGTTCTACTTTGTATTTTCGTTGCAAGTCTTCGAACCAATTGCCGCCATGAGCAACCAATAATTGATTGCTCTCCGGTTTGTTTTTGCAGTACATGACATACATGTCAAACTTTGCAGCCTGAAAATGATGAATTCAAGTTGATTATTTGAAAAATTTGTTTCCAAATTTTTTTATAATTTTTTTATAAAATTTATTTATAAAAATCATTTTCTTTTTCATGATTTGTAAAATTTACTTGAAAATATTTCTAAATACTCACCCAAGTAACAAAACAGTGACCAACGTCCTCGGGCATAGTTTCATATTTTTCAAGTTCTCTCAAAAATATATCACAGTGAAAACGATGAATCTCTTCCATGTTACTGAAAATAATAGATTCCCGTCCTTGCAGGCCATGCGGAACACTTCCTTTTCCATTTCTAGTTTCCTCCAAAAAGCATCGTATACAAGTCTCTAAATCTTTCACATAAGTACGCTCCGTTTGCAGGAGTTCGGCCATTATAAATCTATTGAAACGAATAAAACATTATATTAAGGGAAAATTGAAAAGCAGAATAATAAAAAAAAAAAATAAAATAAAATTTCTTACTCTTTTCGTCGAGCGGATCTTCTCTTTTCCTCATTCAATTCTTTTAGGTCTTTCCCCTTGATTTTCTCCTCTAACAATGGATCAGAATTTCTGTCAATGGAAAGATCTTTGTGACTCTCGTCGGATTGAATTCCCAAATCGTCTTCAATTTGAGTTTTATAACAATCCATTCGCATGCTAAAGTCCCTAAATATCTGATCCACTTCCGCGACAGATTGCTTGATTGCGGCAGTGTGAATGTGTCCCTCTTCAACATAATTATCCACGAATTGAATCAATAGTTTCACTCTTTCTCTCTTTTCCTGAAACAATGAATAAAAGGCAAATGCAAAATCACAACCGATTGAAATTGTGTGCCACTTGGCAAACTGTCTATTCTATTTTACGGGTTGTGCCAGATAATGACGACATCAACTTTCTTTAGAGGATATACAGAATGTTACATTTTAAAAAGCAACACCCGAATATTTTCAATATTAGTACTAAACAATCACTTATTTATGGAAAGTTTATAATTTATCTTCATTTGTCCTCTCGTAAGAAATTTTACATACATTAGCGCCATTTTTTCGGTAGATGGTCACTTTTTCTAAAAAATATATTCTATTCCTTTTTTTCTTAAAAAAGCGATTTACCTATATAATGAAATCTGTTTTCTAAAAAATGTTTTTCTAACAAGTTCTGATTTCTAAAAAAAAATTTATAACATGTTTCGATTTCTAAAATTTAGTTTTCTTGAATTTGTGAAATTCAAAAATTTTTCTAAAAGAATAATTATTTTTAATTATTTATCACTAGCATAACTACACGCGCGTGAATTTTTCGTTACCATTGTTACTTTAAAAAATTTTCTCTTTTAAATTTAATGAAAATTCTTAATTTTTTAAAAAATATAATTTTTCTAATAGTTTTTCTTTAAATTAAAAAAAAATTAACAATTATTTTAACTTCTCGTGTAGAAATTGCCAAGATAATAAAGTAATAAGTTAAATTCTAAATTTTTTTTAAAGTTAAATTATTTTCCAAATTTTCAATTAGAATTCTTCAAAAATATGATATATTTCAACAATTTTTTTTTGGAAGTTAAACAAATAAAATTCATTACAATATAAAATTTATTTCAATGAAATTTGACAAAATTTTCAATTGTTTCACTTTTTAAAAATTATTTTCGGAAATATAATTATAATTATTTTAAAAAAATATTAATTCTAGTTTTTCAAAAAACAATTTTTTTTGAACTTTCTAAATTAAATTATTCAAAACTTCATTTCCTTTTGTTAAACAAAATTTTTTAAATTTATTATTTATTTTTCCACAGGAATTCAAATTTCAAATAATTTTAGTGAAATGAAACCTTTTTTTTTTGAAATTTAATTATTTCCTAAAAAAAATTCCTGTTATAGTAACGCTTTCAATATTTCATTATTTTCTAAAATTCTAAATGAAATTTGTTCTAATCAATTCCTATCAGAATTTATTTACGAGAATTGAATTATTTAAAAAAAATAATTTCTTTAAATTCTTTAAAAAAATGTATTTTTAAAAATAATTTACAATTATATTTAAAGATAATTTTTAATTGATGAAAAAATAAAATTCTTTAAAATATAAAATTTTAAAAAATTTCCAATCTTTTAAAATTATTTTCGGAATATATCTTAAAAAATTTTAATTACTTTTTTCCAGAATTTCTAAATTAAATCTTTCAAATTTCAATAATTTTTGTAAAATAAATATTTAAATACTTATTGTTCTTTATTTGAAAGATTTTTTTATGAAAATCTGAACTGCAAGTCTTTCCAAATTCAATTATTTTTTTTAGAATTTTTGAACAATATTATTCAAAACTTTTATTTTTTAAGGAAGCTAAAAAATTCGTAATTTTTTATATTTAAATATTATTATACTTTTACAGCAATTAGAATTTCAAAGAATTCAATCAAAAACTTTTTGAAATTTAATTATTTCTAAAGAATCCTACATTAATTATTAATTAATAATTTCTAATTATTTTCTAAAGTTTTAACTAAAATTCGTTTTAAATCAATTGTTATCAGAATTTAACTACAAGAATTAAATTATTTATTTAAATACAAAAAAATAATACATAAATTAATAATTAATTATTTTTGAAAATTGAAACTTGTACCTCTTTATTGAGTTTTTGAAATTTGGGTTAAATATTCTTACTTTACTTATTTTATTATTATTATTTTATTTACAAATTAACTGTCAAACTTTTGACATAAAAATTCAAACTGATTCGAACTATAAAACAATTTGGAATCAAAAAACACTAACTTCCCGTGAGGACAGATTATCTCGATTATTATTATTCATTATTATTTTTATAAATATTTTTAAATAAATTTAATAAAGATTTATGCTGTGACAAGTATTTTTTTTACTGCGAATTTATAATCTTGAACTTTGTTAAAACTTAAAATAATTTTCAAATTTTTTATACAAATCAAACTGTTTAAACTTTTTCGAAGTTGCTTGCGAATAAGGAAAAAATATATTTCAATGATTTCAAATTTTATAAATCTACAATTAAAATGACATAATTTTAATTAATTCATTTAAATAAATTACATTTCTTAGTATCTAGAAATTGAATATTGTTAGAAAGAAAAATTTCAGAAAATCACTTTCATTAGACAAAAAAATTTTAGAAATTCACCTCCTTTAGAAAAAAAATTTTAGAAAATGAAAAATTAGAAATTGCGTTTTAGAAAAACTATTCCTCAATACATTTTTTCTTTATACTGTAAGAAACTGTAGGAAATAGCTGGATATCACTCCCTTCTTGAAGCCTTACATAATTTATAGACGACCGATAAATATGAAAAAAGTTTGATTTTTTTAAAATTAAAACTGTTTAAAAAACATAATTTTTTCTCTCCTGTAAAATTTAGAAAAATCAAGTCGAGCCCTTTTCGAAAGTCTTAATTCAATTAGAGTTAAATTTAAATAATTGTAAATTACTGTAATAAATCATTAATAATTAAATAAATTTTGTAAACTACATAAAAGGAATAATAATTACTGAAGAAAATTAGAAAATGAAAAATTAGAATTAGAATTAGAAAAATTAGAAAAAGAAAGAAAAATGAGTTTGTATATGTACCTTAACTTCCCCTTTGAATTTGTTGTGCTCGTGAAGTAGTTGTTCATTCTCGACACGATTTTTGCCAACATTGGAGTGCGATGCAAGATAGACTTCTCCCTTATCCCTGATCCATTCAAGAGTTTGCTTCACGCTTTGCTCCAAGAGCACGTACTGATGGCACTGGTCCAAACGCTTTTTCCTTTGCGTCCAATACTCGAGAACTTTATTCTCTTTACTCAGCAATTCCTCCAGAATACCTGCAATTCAGTGACACATTTACGTCAACAGGTCGTCAATTCACTAATCAAATTGTCAAAATAAAACTAAATTCTACATAACTTTTTTTAAATAACAAATATTTTTTGTTTTCAATTTAAATTTTAAATTAAAAATTAATTCAACAAGATTATAAATATTGGGCTTGTATTTGTTGATCTAAAAATCCTAGAAAGATTTTGGCGTGAAATTAAAAAGATATTGATCTTTTTAATAAATAAATATCTATTTTGAAAGAGAAAATAAAAATGTACGTACTTTTAACTTTGCTCTCGGAACCAGTCGCTTGATAGCTGTAAAGCTGAAGACTTCGATTCGTGTATTTAAGAAAAGTTTCAGCATTGCGACGAAGTAGAGTGCAGGCTTTTAGAAAGCCTTCCTTCTGCTCTTGATGTTTTGTGACGAAAGTGGTCACTTGAACGCTTTTCTCACCGCCGGAGCACCAGTCTTCGTCCCGTCTATATTCCCTTTCCAAACTGTCTAAAACGGAACGCACTTGTTCGGTGGTTTTGTAAAAACTTATACTCGCTGCGACAAGCTTGTGTCTCTCCTCTGCGCAAGTAACGAGCTGTTGCCATCTCTTGGTCACGTCTTCGGCAACTTCGCGAATACTTTTTGGATCGTAGTGATTTGCGCTGAGTAAGGCATCCGCTCTGTGCTTCACCTAAACAACAATACAATTTTTCCTTAATTCGCTAAATTCATTATTAATTATATACAAGTAACACTATAAGTGTTGCTTGCGTGCGAAATATCATGTTTCCACTGTAAATTAAAACAAGATTGCCACAAAAACTTAATTTTGTTTTTCCCTAACATTTCTCTTATTTTCAGATAAAATTTTCCCTTTTCCCTGACCCAAAAGAATATTTTGATTATTAAATAATTTTAAATTATTAAATTACTAAATACTCAATTATTAAATACTCAAAAAAATGTTCTATTAAATTTATTTACGAATTTCCATAATTGTAAAATTATTCGAAACATCAAAAGTTTTATTTAAAATAAATATTTAATCATTATTATTTTTCCATTTTCCAAAATTAAAAATTGAAACCTTTTGAAATTCAATAACTGATAAAAATATCATTATAAAAGATGCCCGAGTGTTCAAATAATCATTTTATTTTATAAGAATATTATTATTAATTATTGTAACTGCTTCAAAATTATTTTCATCATTTCGAATCAATTATTAGTTTCTACAATTTTTAAATAAAATTCTTCTTTGAATCAATTATTTTTAATAATTTTTGAAAAAGTTCTTCTTAAGAATTTTCAAATCCATTTGTTTACAATTCAATTTTACGTGAAATTTCAATTATTTGGAAATTCTTCAATTTAATAGACATTAGAAAATAAAAACTTGAAATAATTTTTAAAAATTTCGATTAAGCATTTTGAAGAAAATTAGTTGCATAGAATTTTTAATTAAAAGCATGAAAAATTTAGATTTTCAAAGATTTTAATTTAAAATCTTTAAAAAATTCAATTATTTCTAAAAATTTCAATTAATAGTAAATTCTCCAAAATTTGAATTATTATCTAAAACTTTAAATAATTGATGTGATGAATACTATTATTTACGAAAATAATTGAATTTTGCAATGAATTTTATTAAAATTCCTCAAAATAATTGAACTTTGTCGAAGATTATTGTTATTAATTTCTAATAATAATTGAATTGCTGACCACAATTTTTAAAATTTTTTGAAAATAATTGAATTTCTGCGAAAAATATAATTAATTTTTAAAATAATCGAATTCTTGTGATGAATACTATTATTTATGAAAATAATTGAATTTTTCAAATTGAATTTTATTAAAATTCCTGAAAATAATTGAATTTTGGCGAAGAATTTTGCTATTTATTTATATACGATAACTGAAATATTGACGACCATTTTTTTAGATTTTTTTAAAAATAATTGAATTTCTACGAAGAATTTTATTAATTTTGAAAATAATTGAATTCTTGTGATAAATAGTGTTATTTATGAAAATAATTGAATTTTGCAATGAATTTTATGAAAATTTCTGAATAAAATTGAATTTAGGCGTAGAATTTTATTAATTTTGAAAATAATTGAATTCTTTTGGGAAATTTTATTAAAATACTGTTAGTTAAAATTTTATTTTTAAAACATCAAAAAATCTATAAAAAATTATTCATAATAAACGAAATGATTCTGTTAATTTTTTTAATAAACCAGGTGAAAATAATTCTTGTTAGACATTTCTGAATACAAAAAAAATATTCTATAATAGAATTGCATTCCGACAGGTTTAAATCATTTTAAATATTGTAGAGCAGAATAGATAGAAAATTTCCAAAATGTGAAAAAAGAAATAATTCTGGAGTACCTCACAACTATTTTATAAATTCGAAATTGTTAAGAAAAAATCCAACAAAAAATGTTTATTAAAATAAAAGTAATTGAAACCCCATACTTTTGTGGAAGCTTTAAAGAAAACTTTAAAAATGATATTATTTTTATTTCTAAAGAATAGTTTTCGGCATTTAGCGTCGACGCAAACTACAGAAACCTAATTAAAAAAGCAATTTAAATTTTAAATGTGTTTTAATGAAAGGGTTAGTGTTCCAAATTTTGTACAATTAAAATTTGCATTTAAATAAATATTACAATTATGAAACTTTGCAATGTCAGTAAAAAGCTATTTAGGAAAAATAACCTAAAATTGAATTCATTGCATTAATTAATGTTTCTCATAAACATAAAAATTGAATTCTTTTATGAAATTTTATTAAAATAAGTAGAATATTAAAAATCATTGAATTAAGAAGTATTTTTGAAAATAAATGAAATTTTGCTATGAATATTATTAAATTTTAAAAAAATAATTGAATTATTGTGATGAATATTGTTACTTTCGAAAATAATTGAATTTTGCAATGAATTTTATTAAAATTCTGAAAATAATTGAATTTTGTCGAAGAATTTTGCTATTTATTTATATAAATAAAAAAATATTTATAAAAATTGTCGTCAACATGTCAATACATGTTGACGACAATTTTTTTTTTAGATTTTTTGAAAATAATTGAATTTATGCGAAGAATTTTATTAATTTTAAAAATAATTGAATTCTTGTGATGAATATTGTTCTTTATGAAAATAATTGAATTTGGCAATGAATTTTATTAACATTTTTTAATATAATTGAATTTTGGCGAAGAATTCTGCTATTTATAAAGATAATTGAAAAGTTGATGACAATTTTTTAAAAATTGTTGAAAATAATTGAATTTCTTAAAGGAATTCTAATATGCATTAAAATAGTTGAATTCTTTCAAAGAATTGCGTTGAAGTTTTTAGATTGAAACTAATTTCAACAGAATTGAAATTAAAATTTTTCAAAGAAATACTTTATTAAATTATTTATAAGTAATAACTTTATGGCAGTTCTTCAATAGAATTAAGTTATTTAAAATAAATTATTGTCAGAAATGGAAAAAATTGAAGGTTTTGTATTCGTGGTAATTTCATAGTTGATGAGACAAACAAATAGATACAAAAATTCTGAATTTTCGTATTCTAAACATTTAATTTTTTCTATTCTAGAAATTAAATAATTTGTCCAATATTTTTTTGAAGATAAAATTGCCAAAGAAAATTGCTTTTAACGAACCTGAACAGCAGAGGTGTGAGTCTTCTCGATAGCCACTTGGAATTGTTCGTGTTCGAGTCTGAGTTGTTCGGCATCTTGAAGATTTTCCGGAACCCTCAAAGAAGCGAGAAGCATCGCTTCGCCGTTTCGAATCCAATTGGCCACATGCAAAGCGTCCGCTTGCAGTTGCACCAGCTGAGCAGTTTGCTCCAAGCGAACCCGTCGCATTTCCGCGAGATCCTCCGCGTCCATTTCCCGCTCGTTGAGAAACTCGAGTAGAACTTGCACCCTCGCCGCCGCCGTGTGCTGTCCATCGGCCATAATACAAACTCCCGCCTGATCCAACACCTGAGCGAGTTCCTGCCCCTGCTGCAGCACTTGGAACGCCGTGTTCTGCATGTGAGCCACTCCGTCATTGTGAACGCGCAGGAGTTGCTCCGGCGAGCCTTCCCGCGGTGGTCCATGCAGTTCCTGCGTCCACATCTCCAGCTGACCGCTCGCTTCAAGTGCGTCCCTCTCGAATACTCTGAGACGAAGGCAGAGGTCCAACCTCAGCTTCTTCGTTGCCCAGAGTTCCTCCAATTCTTGTCGCAATCCTGAGAGTCTATCAAGAGCAGTCTCCACGGCAGAGACGGAGCCTGTTGTGTCTGGAGCCTCGTTCGAGTCGCGCAACTCCTGGAGGAGTGCTTCACCTTGAGCAATCGTTGAGGTGCAAGCTTCAAGACACGAGGCTCTGTGCTGTGCACACTGGTCCAAAAGTCTCTCGGCAGTGTCCAAACTCTCAGCCACTTCATCCTGCTGCAGCTCTTGTCGCAGTTCATCGACCCATCCAGCGAGCTGAAATAAATTCATTTTTTTTCAATTCAACGAAAGAGAGAAATTTGAAAATAAAAAAACAATCTCCACTTACTTCTTTTTCGTGTGTGTAAAACACGACTGCTAAATCCAATCTTCTACGTCGTTGCTCGACTCTTGCGGCAAAACTGCTGACGTGATCTTCAAGTTCTTGAGCAACTGCGTAAATTTCATCCGGAGCGCATTCACCGGTATGGGCAAGTTCCTCAGCGGCAGTAAGGAGTTTTGTGGCATTCGTATAAGTATTCTGCAACAAGTTACAAAAGTTAACTACATTTATATTTTACAAAATTAAATAATTTAATTTAATAATTTAATAATTTAATAATTTAATAATTAATAATTATAATAATAATTTAATAATAATTAAAATTAATAATTAATTAAATAATTATTTAATAATAATTCAATAAATTTTTACAAATAAATGAAACTTTCATATAATACTGTATTCCACATTGTTATATTTATCTTTTTTTAAATAAATATTTAATTATTAATTTTCCATAGGAATTAAAATTCTTCAAAAGATTCAAATTCAAACCTTTTTGAAATTAAACAACTTATAAAAAATTTGTTATAAAACATGAAGAAATCGATCACTCCAAGTCTTCGACTCAGAGCAATCGATATCTTCATGTTTTATAATAATTATTAATTAAAAATAACCGACTTTCAACTAAAATTCTTCTTTAAATTAATTATTGTTAATAATTTTTAAAAAATTTCTTGGAAAATTTTCAAATCCTTTTGTTTATAATTCAATTTTACGAAATAATAATTAAAACTTCAAATAATTAAAAAAAAATTCAATTAAACTTTTTCAAAAAAATTAAATCTACACAATTTTTAGTTAAAAGTATGAAAAATTCAAACATTCAAAAATTATAGTTTGAAACATTTTCAAAATTCAATTATTTCTAAAAATTCACGCTGTAATACTTTCTCTCTAAAATTGAATTAGTAAAAATGTTCAGGGTGGCCACAAGTTTCAGTTTATCAATTTCCCTGACAATTTACTGACATTGAAATTTTTTTCCCTGACAGAATTCTTTTTACAGGAAAAAATAAGAGTTCACGGAAAATAAGTAAAATGTAAGAATTTTAATAATTTCTAAAATTACAATTATAACCCTTCCTGAATTCAATTATTTTTTACAATTTGCAACTAAACTTCATCTCTCAATCAATTAATTTAAATAATTTCCCAAAAGTTCTTCTAGAATTCAATTATTTAAATAAAAACAAACTCAATTTTTTTACTATAATTGTAATTATAAAATATAATAGTTTTTCAATTTTGAAAAATTCACAAATAATTAAAATTTGATAAAATCTTTTAAAAATAATGGAATTTTTTAAAAATATAAATAAAAATGATCAAATTTTTGAAGAATTTTAATTATAAACAGGACCATGATTTATCAAAAATTTTAATAAGTCCAAACAGTAAATTTTTATAAATTTTTATTTACATTGTTCAAAGATAATTGAATCTTAAAAAATTGTTATAATAGAATTCTAATAAATAATTACATTTTTTAAAAATATTTTAATGTAATTTTTCGAAAATAATTTAATTTCTTAAAAAAAATTGTTGTATTTTGTTGCAATGTTTGGATAAAAAGTCGAAAAAGTCGCAATTTTTGAAAATAAGTAAAAAAAATCCTCAATTTTCTTAATTTCCCTGACAAACATTTTTTTCCTGACATTTCCAAAACATTTTTACTAATTCAAATTTATAGAGTTTAATATTCAATTATTATCTAAAATTTTAACTGAAATTCATATTTGAATGAATTATTATTAGAAAATTCTACGAGAATTCAATTATTTAAATACAAAATTAAATAATTTATTGAAGAATTGAATGTTTTTTAAAATTGAACTCTCACTTAAAGAATTTTATCAACAAATTTTTAAATACGTAATTAAAATTCTGTTGACGAATTTTAATAAAATTTTTAAAAGTAATTTCATTTTTCGAGAAATTAGATTAAAATTGCATTTAAAAAAATTCAATCTCTGTAAAAAATTTGATTGAATTGAGAAAAGTTTTTGAATTTCTTTGATGAATTTTAATAAAATTTTTAAGAATCATTATATTTCTCGAGAAATTGCATTAAAATTTATATAAAAAAAAAATGGAAATTTTGCGATGAGTTTTATTATTTATAAAAATAATTGAATTATTGCGAAGAAATTTATAAAAAATTTGTAAATAATTGAGTTCCTACGAAATTTATAAAATTAATTAAATGTTTGTGTAGAATTTTATAAAAAAAAAAATTTTAAGTAGGTGATTGAATTCTTTAGGAAAATTTTATTTTAATTGTAGATATAGAAAAACATTCAATTGAAGAGAAATTTTGAAAAAAATTGGAATTTTGCCAAGAATTAACTAATTTCAGAAGAATCTGAATTATTTAAATTTTTCAATAATGTAAGTTCTTTAAAATTTCTAATTAAATTCATTTAAAATTGAAGCTTTTATAAAATTTCAAATTGCAACGTTTTGAAGTTTTTTGAAAATTATAACGTAACTCTTTAAAATTTAATTAATTTTGAAATATTTAAGTAAAATTTTTATTACAATTCTTCAAAAATACAATTATATTTAAAAATAACTTTTAAAAGTGAAAAAATAAAATTCTTTTAAATTTAAAATTTATTTTAATGAAGTTTGTGAAAATTTTCAATTTTATCAATTTTTAAAATTATTTTCGGGAATTCAAAAATTTTAATTACAATTTTTCAAAAACTTCGTTCTTTTAGAATTTCTAACTTAAATTTTTCAAATTTAAATAATTTTTGTTAGATAAATACAATTTAAATATACTTATTGTAATTAATTTGTCCATAGCAATTAAAATTTCAAAATATTCTCAATGTAAAACCTTTTGAAATTAAATGGTAATTTCTAAAAATAATTGCAATTCTCCCAAAATTCAATTAGTTATTGGAATTTTAAAATAAAATTAAATAAATAATTGTAATGAAATTCGAAACTTCAATCATTTTCTTTTAGGAAAATAATAAATAGTTTTACTATTTACAAATTAAAACTGTCAAACATTTGTCGTTTTAATTCAAGCATTTTAAAATTTCTTTAAATTTGATTCGACTGTCAGCAAGTAATGTAAAAAAATGTCAAATACCTGAGCAACATTTTCAAAGTGTTCATGGCTCTTTTGATAAACTCTTGCTTTTTGCAGATTCCGACCAACGCCGGTATTTTTCCTGATGAAAACTTCGCCATGATTGGTCAACCAGTCCAAGACTTGTTTAACGTCTTCTTGGAAAAGCCTGTTAAATAATTCATCGACAGGATTAAAATTTGAAAAATTCGCAACAAAGAAGAAATGTCAAAGTCCATGTGAAGTCATCACAAAAAGTTTTACGATGCAATTTCATTTCGTTGAAATTTACTTACTATCTTTCAACTACATTAGGTGAAAAACACAACTATTTATTATAAACTTTTCAAAACAGATATTTTACGTTTTTTAGTTAATTCTTTAAAAATCATTCGGTTGATTAATTATTAATTACTAATTATTAATTCTAATATTAAATTTTAAGACTCATATTTGAACGCGAAAAATAATACTCGATTTTTGAAAATTAAATATTAATCGAATCAAAATATTGTTCGGGTTGCAAAATAAAGTCAAGTTTTATCTTGAAAATTACTGAAATTACTTTTAAAACTGTAAATATTGAACTTAATAAATTTAAATATTTTGTAAATTTTATATTTTTTTATTATTTTTTTTAAAAAATATTTTTTATTTATTTTTAGTTATTGTTAGGAAAAGGAAAACTAATCAGTGAATTTTCAAAATAAGTGAAGACAGATAGAAAATGTAAAAAGAAAATGTGTAAAAAAGAATTGGAATACATAAAATAAAAGAGTGAAGAAAAATGTTAAAAATAAAAAAATAAATGATAAAAAAGGTGATGCCAATATAGGAGGCAAAATAAATAAAAAAGCAAAGCCGGAATAAATAAAAAAAATTGCACTAATTGCATTATAAAATTTTCCGTGATGATATCAAATGGACGTGACCAGCTACGAGATTACTTAGTAGAATCTTGCCTTAAAGCAAGACGTTGATGGAGTTTTATTTTGCGAGCATGCCAACGAGCCTCGAGTGCTCGGTGATGACCCAAGATTTGATGAATCACGGCAAGAACGTGAGATGCGCCCTCACTATAATCTGCAGCGGGATTTCCACTCATTCCTCCTCGAACGTCCATTCCATGACCATCCTGGTTCTATTCAAATTTCATCCCACCAAAATATTAGAACAATCATAATAATTCGAATTTCACATCTCTCCATGCAATTTCTACATATCCCAACTACTGTTTTTCTTTCCAAAAATAATTTTTACTTACTAATGTGCAAACTGTGCAATAAAATACGTGACACCTCTACTAAGATTCCTATGTGGAAAATATTAATCACAAGTCAAAAAAAAAAATGTGGAAATAAACATTTTCAGGGCAAAAAGTATAACAAAACATAATTTTCTTTATTTTTATCCAATAAATTTTTTTTAAGAATAGAAATTAAAAACGTATAAATAAATTTTAATTGAAAAAACAAAATTCTAATTTGCGACAATTAATTTCATTGGACAATATTAAAATTCAAATAATTTAAGGAAATAAAAATTGTAAAACTTATTTAATAACATTCTCTCAATCAAAATAAATTTTAATATTAAAAATAAAAAATTTTCCCTGACTATTCCTTGATTTCCAGAGAAAATTTTGATTTTTTCCCTGACCTTAAAGAATATTTTCATTCACTCTCAAAATAATGGAAAAATTATTTGAAAACATGAATAGTTTTATTTAAAATAATCATTTAATTAAATAATTAATTAATTAATTAATTAAATGATACAAATTTAATCATTATTATTTTTTCATAGGAATTAAAATATATTACAAGAATATTGTTTCTGTAACTTCATAAAAATTATTTTCATAATTTCAATTTTTCTTTACATTTTACTTTTTATTTATATTCATATTCACTATATTTCATTCCTTTCATAATAAATCAAATTAATTTATTCATTAGGAAAATATTGTAGTAAGTAAATCGTTGTATGAGTAAGTATGTCACACTCTATATAACTATTGACTTTAGATTCTCACAGTATGAATTAAAAACTTTATATTAATTTTCAAAAATATAATGAAAAAATTTTTTTAACTGTTTCGTTTCTGGAAAATTTTATTTTTTTTCTTTTATTTTCGACTTTATAATTTTGATTCCTTAATAAATTATTCAGTTAACGAATAAACTCTAAAAATTTTTTATTTTATTTACTTTTTGCCCCGAAATTAATTTAATTGTTCCTTTTTTACCTATTTTTCTTTATTATTTTGATTGAAATATTTTGAAATTAAAATGAAACAGTAAAGAAGGAATAATTTTTGTTTCTTTAAATTGAGCAATTCCACGTGAACTGATCCTATCAAAAAAATATTTTAAAGGACATTGTTTTATACAAATTGACAAAACTTCTAGAAAAATAAAGCGATTTGAATTTTTACATATTGAATTTAAAAACATTTTTTGTGTTCTTTACAATTCTAAAACTCTTTTTTCAAAAACATATTATTTAATACTTCTTTTTTTCAGAAATAAACCTTATTTTTCAATTTTCACAGAAACTGCATCTTGTTTCTTTTGTTTATCATTTTAATTGGAAGAAAAATTAATTCTCATAAAGAATTTTATCAACAAAAATTTTTAAATAATTGAATTCTTGTGATGAATATTGTTATTTATGAAAATAATTGAATTTTGCAATGAATTTTATTAAAATTCCTCAAAATAATTGAATTTTGCTACTTATTTATTTATAAAGATAATTGACGAAATTTTTTTTTAGATTTTTTGAAAATAATTGAATTTTTGCGAAGAATTTTATTAATTTTGAAAACAGTTGAATTGTGCAATGAATTTTATTAAAATTTCTGAAAATAATTGAATTTTGCAATGAGTTTTATAAAAATTCCTGATTATAATTAAATTTTGGCGAAGAATTTTGCTATTCATTTATAAAGATAACTGAAATGTTGACAATTTTTTTTAGATTTTTTGAAAATAATTGAATTTTGCAATGAGTTTTATAAAAATTCCTGATTTTACTTGAATTTTGGTGAAGAATTTTGCTATTCATTTATAAAGATAATTGAAATGCTGACAATTTTTTGTTTGATTTTTTGAAAATAATTGAATTTTTGCGAAGAATTTTATTGATTTTGAAAATAATTGAATATTGCAGTGAATTTTATTAATTTTGAAAATAATTGAATTTTGCAATTAATTTTATTAAAATTCCTCAAAATAATTGAATTTTGCTACTTATTTATTTATAAAGATAATTGAAATGTTGACAAAAAATTTTTTTTTTAGATTTTTTGAAAATAATTGAATTTCTGCGAAGAATTTTATTCATTTTGAAAATAGTTGAATTTTGCAATGAATTTTATTAATTTTGAAATGAATTTTATTAAAATTCCTGAATAAAATTGAATGCTGTCGAAGAATTTGGCTATTTATTTATAAAGATTATTAAAATGTTGACAATTTTTTTTTTAGATTTTTTGAAAGTTTTTGAATATCTACCAAGAATTGTGTTAATTTTGAAAATAATTGAATTTTGCTACTTATTCATTTATGAAGATAATTGAAATGCTGACGACAATTTTTTAGATTTTTTGAAAATAATTGACTTTCTGCGAAGAATTTTATTAATTTTGAAAATAATTGAATTTTGCAATGAATTATTTGAAAATTCCTGATTGAATAAAATAATAATAAAAATAAAATAAAAATTCCTGATAATTGAATTTCGGCAAAGAATTTTGCTATTTATAAAGATAATTTAAATGTTGACAAGGATTTTTTGTAGTTTGATTTTTGCAGTTTTTGTAAAAATTGAATAGCAACGTTTATTTTTGAAAAAAGAGGAGTTAAAAATTTTTTTTTTTTGAAAATAGTTTCGGAATTGAAAAAAACACCAAAAAATTCTTTAAAATTCACTTTACAAAAATTGAAATCTGTCAAGTTTTGTCGAAATTGCACTAATTTAAAATGAACAATTTCGCTGTAAACGGCATAATGAGAATTTTTACTCGTTAGTTTCACGTGGTATTGTTCAATTGGTTTTTCTTTTTTGTGCGCCAGATTTTCTACCACTAAAATAAGACAGCGATAAAATGTCTCCTGAGAAAAATGAATTAATTTTACAAAGGGGTGTTTAATTTTTACAAAATAGTGCAGACGAAAGGAACATGCAAATAAAAAGAAGTGATGAATAAGAAGACAAAAAGAGAGGAAAAAATAAAAAATGTCATGCAGAAATGGACAGACAGACGTACATGTTTCCTGGTAGCATGGTCAATCCCCTGAGGTTGATTACAGACTTGAACAAGATGGTCCAGTTGGTAAAGAAGCTTCTTACTGGTGCTATGAACCTAAACAATTCCACCCAGATGCATATGATTGATTAATTCATCACATATTGTACAATGAGGCCTACACCTTCGCCTTAACAATACAATCAAGCGATTTGTTATTACACTGGTTGGACTGCAACACGATCACCATTAGATGTAGATAGATTAATATTAATTAATAATTAATAATTGATTAATATAATTATAGTGTAAACGTTAGCATTTACCCCCTCAAGAAAAAAAAAAAGATTTGTTTCTATTTCTTTTTAGAGAGAGTTATCTTGCCCAGTAGTAGCAGAGTGATAGTAATTCCAGTAGCCCAGACACCAAGTTAGCGTTAAGATTCCATGAGCTAAAAATCAATTATAAAAATTTGCCTCGTACATAATCATCGTGAAAGACATCGGAGCCTGCAAGGCCGACTGTGCTTGCGCTATGACATACTTGTAGCATTGAACCCAGTCCACTCAAAAGTGCTTGGTACGCATTGTAGACCTAACAAAAGGCATATTTTTTTGGCTAACAATACATTTCTTATCGTTCAAATAAATGTTTTTTAACAAATGAAAACTTTTTTTTTTTAAAAAGCAAACGTCCATTCCTAATTAAGATAAACATTTCAATAGTGTCCAATACCTATTCTATGCTTTACAATAAAGAAAGCTTGAAACACTTGGCAAAAATGACAGAAGCTGAGATTAAAGAGAATAAAATACAGGAGAAGGATTTTCAATTTTCCCTAATGACAAAATTGGGGTTATTTCTATTTCTTCCAACACAAATTATTAATATAAGTGGCCACAAAAATTTATCTTTGTATTTCCCTTACTTTTCCCTGATTTCGAGACAAAATTTTGCCTTTTTTCCTGACCGTAAAGAATATTCTGATTCACTCTAAAAATTATTAGATACTCAAAAAAATGTTTTATTAAATTAATTTACAAATTTCTTCAAAAGTCAAATTATTCGAAAACATCAATAATTTCTTTCTTAAATAAATATTTAATAATTATTATTTTTCAAAATGAATTAAGATTTACAAAAATTTTTAATTCAAACCTTTTAAAATTCAATAACTTCTAAGAAAATAATTATAACATGAAGATATCGATTTCTTCCTGTTTTATAATAATTAAAAATAACCGAGTTATAAAATCACTTTTTTCTATTATAAAAATATTGTTATTGTAACTTCTCCAAAATTATTTTTCAATTCAATTATTATTTCTTACAATTTTAAAAATAAAATTCTTCTTTAAATCAATTATTTTTAATAAATTTTAAAAAAGTTCTTAGAGATTATTCAAATCAATTTGTTTACACTTCAATTTTACGTGAAATTTCGATTATTCGGAAAATCTTCAATTGAATATATATTAGAAAATAAAAAATTCACATAATATCAATAAAAATTCAATTAAACTTTTTCTAAAATAATTAATTTTACAAAATTGTTAGTCAAAAGTACATATGAAAAATTGAAATTTTCTAAGATTTTAATTTGAAACCTTTTCGAAATTAAATTATTTCTATAAATTCACGCTATAAATAAAGCTTTTAATATTCAATTGTTATCTAAAATTTTAACTAAAATTCATATTTAAATCGATTTTTATTAGCTAAGAGAATTCAATTGTTTTAATACAAAAATTAATAAGTTATTGAATAATTGAATGTTTCTCAAAGTTGAATTCTCATAAAGAATTTTATCAGTAAATTTTTAAATTATTGAATTCTTTTGACCAATTTTAATAAACTGTTAAAAAATATTACATTTTTCGAGGAATTCGATTAAAATTGTATTAAAAATAATTGAAATTCTGCGATTTATGAGAATAATTGAATTCATATAAATAATTTTATTATTTATGAAAATAATTGAATTCCTATAAATAATTTTATTATTTATGAAAATAATTGAATTCCTAAAAAGAATTTAATTATTTATGAAGATAATTGAATTCTTGACTAGAATTTCATTAAAATTTTCGAAAATAATTTAATTCTCTAGAAGAATTTTAATAAACTTTTTAAGAATTGAATTTTTTGAGAAATTTATATCAATTATTATTTTAAATTTTAACTGAAAGTTATTTTTAAATCAATTTTTATTAGAAAATTCAACAAGATTTCAATTATTTAAATATAAAAATAAATAATTCATTGAATATATAGTTTAATGTTTTTTAAAATTGAATTTTCATAAAAACCATTTTTGGGCATAAGAATAATTAGAAGAATAATTACATTTGTCGAGGAATTTGATTAAAGTTGTACTAAAATTTTGTTAAATTTTTTTTTTATAATTGAATTCTTTTAGTAAATTTTATGCAAATAGTAGATAATTATTTTATTAAATTTTTTGAAAATAATTGAATTTGTCATAAGAATTTTATTTTTAAAGATAATTGAAATTTTAATGAGAATTTTTAAAAAAGTTTTGAACATAATTGATTTCTTGCGAATAATTTTATTACTTTTGAAAATAATTGAATTTTTTCAATAATTTGCATTTTTTTCCAAAATTCAATTTTTAGTGTTTTTACCTAAAAATTTGTCTATAAGATTTTTAATCAAAGTATTTTATTACTTTCCAAAAAAATTTAATTCTTGTGATGAATATTGATATTTATCAAAATAATTGAATTTTGGAAAAGAATTTTATTAAAATTCCTTAAAATAATTAATTTTATGGGAAGAATTTATGCGATTTTGTTGTTTATCAAGCTAATTGAATTCTTTTGCAAAATTTACTTAAAAATTTTTGAAAATAATTGATTTTATGCGACGAATTAAATGTTATTTATGAAAATATTTGAATTATTGCAACGAATTTTATTATTTTATTGAATAATTGAATGTTTCTTAAAATTGAATTCTTTCCTCAATTTTTAATAATAATTACATTTTTTAATGAATTTATTTAAAATTGTATTAAAAATATTTGAAATTCTGCGATGAAAATAATTGAATTCGTAAATGAAATTTTATTATTTATGAAAATAATTGAATCTTTTCGTAGAATTGTATCAACAAGGTTTTTCTACACATAATTAAATCTGTTGATAAATTTTATGAAAATAGTAAATATTTAAAAACATTGAATTGCGAAAAACTTTTAAATATACTGAATTGTTACAAAGAATTTTATTTAAAAATTTTTGAAAATAATTGAATTTTTGGCGAAAAATTTTACTATTTATAAAAATAATTGAATTCTTGACGAGATATTGATTAAAATTTATAAAAATTCGTGTAAAGTATTTTATTAAATTTTGTTTAAATAATTGAAATTTTGCCAAGAATTTAATTAAAATTTTTGACAATAATTGAATTTTGGAGAAGAATTTTGATATTTATCAAAATAATTGAATTTTGGAAAAGACTTTAATTAAAAATCCTTAAAATAATTGATGTTATAGTGAGAATTTTGTTGTTTATCAAGATAATTGAATTCTTTTGCAGAATTACTTAAAAATTATTGATTTTCTGCGACGGAAAAAATAGGGGAAATTTTCAGAATAGGTTACGTTTTGGGGCCAAAATTAAAAAAGGGGACTTTTAGGGAAATAGGGGACAAACTGTGAAGCCTGTATCTTTATATATTTCTCTCTCAGTGAATTCTATAAAAAAGATGATAAAGTGTAAAAAATAGTTCTCCTGTAGGATAAAAAAAGAGAGGAAGAAGGTGTACAATGTCTGTAATTATTGCTTGTCTCATCTGGGAATAAACACGGATAAAGAGCAACTCGAAATAAATAAATAAATAAATCTGATGAGAGACTCACCTCCGTGTAAGCTTGACACATGGCCTCGTAGAGAGTCTGATGCTGTCGGATGTGAGATTCAAGAACGGGTATTTCATTCGGCAGATTTGGAGTGTCACACGCTTTGCTCCAGCCGGTGACACTGTCGACGTACTGCTCCGCTTTGTGATGAAAAACAACACTCAGTCCAAGAACGGCAGTTCTCTCGTCGAGTCCGGCGGCAAATTCTTTCCATGCACGATCCAATCTACCTGCAACAGCACGTACGTGACCAGCAGCGTAATGCTGAGTCTCTAAGAGTCTGCCGGCCATTGTCAGGATTTTATTGATGTTGACATAGACATTCATTGAACTCATGGTAAAATGCTTGTGTTCCTCTTGGAGATTCTTAGCGAGCTGGTAGGATCGACCAATCTCAACGTAATTGCCGAGAAAACTCTCCCTGTTGTGGCAAATCCAATCGAACATCTTCTCGCAGTCCTGCTCAAACAAACGGAGCTGAAAGCACTGGTCCAATTTTATTTTCTTTATGTGCCAGAGTTTCAAGAGGTGTTGCTGCGCCGCGTGCACCGAATTCAGATGCTGAATCACCATCGAGGCTAAAGCTCGACCGTCCGAATCGGAACCACCTGTGGCTCCTGATTCAATGCTTCCGCCTTCTCCGCCGTTCCCCGTTACACCTGAAAGAAAAAGCACCAGTCTTATAATTTGCTTTCAAATTTCATTTCCACGCGTCGTTACCAAGCATTCGTTTATCGCACTTTATGTAAATCATAATTTTTATACTTCTACACATTAATTTACATATTCGATGTAAATTTCAGTAAATAATATAATTTATAATATAAAAAAATTTTGATGTTTCAAAAACTAAAACTTTTTCAAGGTTTGCAAAAATTAAAAGTCTTTTCATTATCCTAATTAAAAATTTCTTTGAGTTACAAAAAAATTGTCAACTTTCGTAAGTTTTTCTTTAAAAAAAAAAAAAAAAAGGAGAATTAAATAGAAATATAAAGGACATTACTTACCATTATTAAATCGTTGTAATAATCTCTGTCCAACGACTTCGACCTCCTCGACAGGAACCTTCATTATTTTCTTCTTCATTTCGTTGTGCAAATCGATACCGTGTTTCGCACCACCGACGTCATCGGCAAAATCATTGCGACTGAGATCCTCTTGTAAGTCATCTAATCTATCTAAAAGATCAGCAGCCTGCCAGGTAAAATCTTCTACGGCAAGTCTAGTGTCTATCCACTGAGCGTGATCGTACTGTAAGGATCCATCTAAATCCGCTGTGAGTTGAGAGGGATCTATAACTTTGGCTAGCGCCTCTAAACTAATCGTATTAATCTGCAAACAAAAATATTTACATTACTATACAATCACAATTTCTTCATTCAATTATTATTATTATTATTATTATAAATAATTATCAACAAAATATTTCAAAGATGCAAAAAATTCCCCGATATTTCCCTGTTATAAGATATTCAGCTCTGTACTTTAACTTTTTATTTTCCAATAATACATGTGAATTATTGGATGAAAAAAATTGCATGAAAGGAGGGACTATTGGCACTATTGGAATTATCTATTATGAGAATATTTTTATGAAATTCCAAATAACTTGGGAGGTCTTAAATAACTCTAGATGGAAAAATTGTGGAAACAGATATTCAAAGTTAGAAATTGTCTGAAACCTAGTTTGAGAAAAACGATTTTAAAGTTCGAATGTTAGTTAAATAAACATTTAAGAAGAAATTGTCTAAATTTTATAATAACACTTTGAAAAAGATTTCAAAAAAAGAAAAACTTGTTTATTTTTTATTAGAAAAAGGGAGACAAATCACCAAAAAAGGGGATTCACATCTTTAATTACTGAAGCATCAATTTTCAATGATAAATTTCAGGGTGGTCACAAGTTTCAGTTTATCAATTTCCCTGACAATTTACTGACATTAAAATTTTTTTTTACAGGAAAATATTCGAAAGTTTACAGAAAATGAGTAAATTTATGAAATTTAATAATTTCTAAAAATTACAACTATAACCCTTCCTGAATTCAATTATTTTCTATAATTTTCGACTATAGACTTCATCTCTGAATCAATTATTTAAACTAATTTTCCGAAAGTTCTTCGAGATTTCCGAAATTTTAATAAGTCCAAAAAAGTAAATTTTTATTTGCATTATTCAAAGATAATTAAATCTTAAAAAATTAAATAAAAAATTCTAAGAATTAAGTAGTTTTTAAAAATATTTTAATGTCATTTTTCGAAAACAATTTAATTTCTTAAAAGAGTTTTTCTACTTATTATTTAAAAAAACTAATTAATTTTTTGATGAAATTTAATGAAATATTTTGAACATAATTTTTTTCTCCAAAATGTTATTATTTTTCCTATGTATTTGAATTTTCGGAAATATGTAAATTAAAAGTACTAAAAATACTTAATTTGAAAAAATTTTCATTTTTAAATTTTTTTTTAAAGACATTTTTCATAAAAATTTTTGATAATTCAATTATTTTGAAAATTTGCAGTTAAAATTCTTTAAAAGTTGATTTTCAAAAATTCTAACAAAATACTTGAAAAAAATTAATTATTTTCAATTAAATATTACAAAATTTCAATTATTCAAAATCTTTTTAATTCTATAATTCTAAAATTTAAAAAGAAAAATGATTCAAAAATAATTTTTGAAACATTTGTTTATAGTTATTTCATGTTTTATAATAATTAAAGATGACCGAGTGATGAAATCAACTCGGAAATCATTATCAATTCAATTATTATTTTCAAGAATTTTTAACTAAAATTCTTCTTAAAATCGATTATTTTTAATAATTTTCGTAAAAGTTCTTTGACAATTTTCAAATCCATTTGTTTACAATATTCAATTTTAATTCGTAAATTCTTCAATTAAAAATATATTAGAAAATAAAAACTTTAAATAATATAAAAAAATCCGCAATTTAAATTTTTCAAAAAAAATTAATTCCACAGAATTGTTAGTTAAAAATAAGAAAAACTCAAATTTTCAAAGTTTTTAATCTGAAATCTTTTCAAAATTCAATTATTTCTAAAATTTTACGCTCTAATGCTTTTAATATTCTATTATAATATAAAATTTTAAATGAAATTTATTTTCAAATCAATTTTTATGAGAAAATTCTACTAGAATTCAATTATTATTTAAATACAAAAAAAACAATTTATTAAACATTAAAGGTGAAAGAAGTTAACATTTATTTGTGAGATTGATTCGGAAAAATTGCAATAAATTTTTAAATAATTGAATTCTTTTGACGAATTTTAATGAAATTCTTAAGAATAATTACAATTTTTCGAGGAATTTGATTAAAATAATAATAATAATTATTATTATTACCTATTATTATTTACCAAAATAATTGAATCTCTGTAAAAATTTTATTATTTACGAAAATAATTGAATGATTGCGAAGAAATTTATAAAAATATTTGTAAATAATGAAATTCCTGTAAAATTTTTATTATTTTTTGAAAATATTTAAAGGTTTGTGTAGAATTTTATTAAATTTTTTTTAAATAATTGAATTCTTTTGGAAAATTTTATTAAAATAGTAGATACCTATTAAAAATCATTAAATTGAGGGAAATTTTTGAAAATAATTAAAATTTTGCCAAAAATTTTATTAAAATTTTGGAAAATAATTGAATTTCGGAGAAGAATTTAATTATTTCAAAAAATAATTGAAATTTTGACGAGAATTTTTAGACATTTTTAAAAATAATTGAAATTTTGCCAAAAATTTTATTAAAATTTTTGAAATAATTGAAGTTTTGGAAAGAATTTTATTACTTTTGAAAATAATTGAATTCCTACAATCATTTGTAATTTCTCTAAAATTATCCAAATTATATCGTACAATTTACGGATTTTACGGACCTTTTTTAAAAAAACGGACATTTACGGACTTCAAGCAAAGTTACGGATTTTTACGGGATTTAAGGACCTAGTTCGAGCACCAAACCAAGTCGATAAAACTCTCAAATTTTTAAATTTCTAATGACAAAAAATTTTTTTTCTGAAACTTCCCTGACTTTACCGACAAAAGTTTTGTTTTACTGACAAATGGCAACCCTGAATTTATTTACACCAGTCTTAACAATTTTTTTGTTTTTTATGATAAATTCTGTTTTTTTTGCATATTTTCTACTGGGAAAAAACTGACAGTTTTTAGAAACTTATGTACTTTAACTAGACATACATTACAATAATTAAATGTTTAGTAAAATTCTTTTCATTTCGTGATGTCGATTTAAAAAAAATGAGTTGGCAACTAATTTTGCCATGAAACGATTTGAATTTGTGTGAATTTGAGTGAAGCCTAACAAGTTAGTTTTCCCGTTCGCTTTGAGAATGTAAATTGTTTAACGAGAATGGAGGAAATGGATGGATGAAAATCCATCGAGTGAGTCTGTGCAAAGAGAGGAAAAGGAAAAGCAATATGTCAAGTGAATATTGATAGTTAAAGGTCATCTTTTGTGCCAACTCTTGGTTACTAATGATCAGCGGCTTGCACACAAACTTTGGAGCTTCAGCATCTCCAGCACAATGGTTAGGCTTGCATTTTGTGCTCCAATGGATGCAATAAGCCTTACAGACTTGATGTCAAAGTAGGCCAGAGAGGCTATTCAGTAGACGTGCACTATTACTCTAACAAGTCTTTGCATTCGCCCTCCCTCCCCTTCCCTCGCATCTATTGATTGCTCTATTTTACCTCAAAGTTGTACTTCTTCTGTTTGGCCAGCGAAGTCCTCTGCTTCTGCCAGAAATTTTCTGGCTTGATGATAAATGCAACGTGGACCGATCGATGAAAGTGTTCGTGTAATACCTAAATCAGAAAAAAAAGGTTTGCATTATTTACTTATACTTGCACTTGAAACAAGTCACGTCTCAAATCCAACGTCCAACAAAACGACGCGACGTGTGTTTCATGTTAAAACAAGGCTTTTATTTAATAACTGACAAATTGTTCAAATATAATTTATAATCATGTCCTCACGATAAATTTATATTTCCTAATAACTTTATCAAATTTTCCGAATTTATCTTCAAATTTTTACAGGCTTCGCACTAGATAATTCATTTTTAAAAAATAGCTTTGAAACTGAAAAAAATTGTAAAAAGTAGCTTTCAAAAAATTAATTTTTACGACTAAAAAACTCGTTTCAGTCGATTCACGAAAAGAATTAATATTTCCCAAATTTCTTCTTGATTTCCATAAAAAATATTCACATTACATTCAATTCTTCAGAAATATGTACGATTATACAATAAAAATAACTTTTGAAAGTAATAAAATAAAATTGTTTAAAATATTAAAGAGCCCAAAAATAATGAAGCCAAATGCCATAAAAGAAAAGAAAAACTGTTGAATTTTAAGAAATTCGGTTTTTCGAATTTTGGTAATTTTTAGAAATATAGTAATTTTTTAAAAAAATTCAATTATTTTTAACAAAATTTCACGAAAGAATTCAATTATTTTCAAAAATGTTAATAAATCTTTAGAAAAAATTCAATGATTTTGTTAAATCCTAATAAAATTTTTGCGAAAATCCAATTATTTTCAATAAAATTTCAGGAACGAATTCAATTTTTTTTCTTAATTCGTTATAAAGTTTTTCACACGAATTCAATTATTTTCTAAAATTTTAATAAATCCTTCGAAACAATTCAATTATTTTTATTAATAAATCTTTAGAAAAAATTCAATGATTTTGTTAAATCCTAATAAAATTTTTGCGAAAATCCAATTATTTTCAATAAAATTTCAGGAACGAATTCAATTTTTTTTCTTAATTCGTTATAAAGTTTTTCACACGAATTCAATTATTTTCTAAAATTTTAATAAATCCTTCGAAACAATTCAATTATTTTTATAAATAGTAAAATACATCGCAAAAATTAAATTAATTTCAAAATTTTTAATTAAAATAAAAAAAAACATTATTTACAAAAATTTTAATAAAATTTCACGTAAGAATTTAATTATTTTCAAAAATTTTAATAAATCCTTAAAAAAAATTCAAATATTTTGTTAAATAGTAAAATTTTTGCAAAAATCCAATTATTTTTAATAAAATTTCAGAAACGAATTCGAATTTTTTTTTCTTAATTCGTTATAAAATTTTTTAAAAGAATTCAATTAGTTTCTAAAATTTAAAATAAATCCTTCGAAACAATTCAATTATTTTTATAAATATAGTAAAATACATCGCAAAAATTAAATTAATTTCAAAATTTTCAATTAAAATAAAAAAAAAAATATTTACAAAAATTTTAATCAAATTTCATGAAAGAATTTAATTATTTTCAAAAATTTTAATAAATCCCTTAGAAAAAATTCAATTATTTTGTTAAATAGTAAAATTTTTGCAAAAATCCAATTATTTTCAATAAAATTTAAGGAACGTATTCGAATTTTTTTTCTTAATTCGTTATAAAATTTTTCAAAAGAATTATTTTGAAAACTTGAAAGAAATTCGTCGTAAAATTCGATTATTTTCAAAATTTTAAATGAAAATTATTAAAGAACCTCAATTATTTTACAAAAATTCAAAGAAATTCTTCAATAGAATTTAATAAGGATTTTTTGAAATTTTAATAAAATTCTTGGCGACAATTCAATTAGATATTTTCATAAATAATAAAATTCTTCAAAGAAATTCATTTATTCTCAAATTTCCTAATAAAATTCTTTGTAACAATTCAATGATTTTCAATACATTAATTTTAAATTTTTAAATATTTAAAAAGAAAAATTATTTAGAAAGTTAGGAAACAAAAAAGCAAACAATAATTAACTTTAATCTGCGAACAGTTTACCGGAATACAACGATTAATAAAATATAGATTTACGAGAACTTAATTATTTTCAAAACATTTTAACTACAATTATTTTTCAAAAGACTAATTAATTATTTTTTGTAATCTCTAAGTTAAATTATTCAAAATTTGAATAATCTTCATTAAATAAATAATTTATTAATTAATTATTATAAATGAATTAATTATTATTATATTATAAATGAATTTATTATTAACTTATTAATTTTTCCACAGGAATAAATAATGAAATAATTGATTATTTCTTAAAAATGAATTCCACTAAGGAATTTTATCAAAATCTAAAAAAATAATTCAATTCTTTCGAAGAATTTTAATGTAAAAAAAATAATAAATTGAATTCTTGCAACAAATTTTATTAACATTTTTTGAAATAATTGAAAGGTTGGTGAAATTTTCATTATTTGTGATAAAAAATTGAATTTTTACAATTTTATTAAAATTTGTTTAAATAAATAATTTTTTGTTGAAAAATTTTTATTAAAAATTTGACAAATTCAATTCACTCCAGGAATTAAATTAAAATTGTATTGAAAAAAGATGAATTCTTATGAATTTTTATCAAAATTATTAAAAAGGATTTCTTTCGGAGAATTTTATAAAACTAATTTTTTTAAATAACTTTCTTTCAAAAAATTTTATGAAAATTGTATTTCAATTATTGAATTTCTGTAAAATTTTCATTATTAATGAAAATAATTGAATTTTTGCGAATAATTTTATTAAAACTTGTTTTAAAGTTACTGAAAATAATTTAATTTCAGCAAAAATTTTCATTATTTAATTCAGTAGATACGAGTGCAAAGCCTGCTTTTATTTTCAAGTTGAGTATTAACAAATTTTTCAAAATTTATTCAAACAGTATTTAAATAATTTTAACAACGATTTTTTGATTTAAAAACTTTTTTTGACATAACCAAGATGATTCTTAATATTTTTTTACCTGGAAAAAATTACCAAAACCTTTAAATCACTTAATTTATGATAAAATTTAATTAAAAACAAAACGACTTGAATGTGTTCTAGTTTATCGAAATTTTTATACGTTTATAAAACAATCACAGAAGCCTAGAGATTCCATTTTCGTTTCAATATTAAATTTGGATTTTCTTTCACTTCGTATCAAAGTTCAGCGTTCGAGAATGAACTACATTTTTTCGAAGTTAAATCAATTTGTAAAACCTATTTTTAAAGAATCATTTTAAAGGTTAAAACAATTTGATTTTTCAGTAACATTTTGAATTTAATAAAATTAAACGCAACTAACTTCAGTTACACAAAATAGAAATACATCGAAAATTTAAAATTTGCTTCTAAAAGCGAATTAACCATTTATATGCACAAGGAAAATATTTTCAAAATATTTTTTGAATATTGTTACAATTAAAGAGATTCTAAAATAATTTTTATTTTTCTAATGCATATAAATATTTATATTTACTGAAATTTCAAAATTTGGGATATTTAATCAATTTCAAAAGGTATTAATCTAAGAGCATTGCAAGAAATTAAAAAAAAAAAAATTTTTTACAGTAATAATCGTAATAATTAAATGTAATTTTTTTTTTTTTGAATATTCACATTTAAAAATTTTTTAAAATACTGTAAAACAATTTCAATTATTTGAAAAACATTCAAGTACATTTAGATACTATTGAATATCTTACGATAATTCTTGAATTAACAAAAGTTTCATCTATTTTCAACTTTAAGCATTGTTCTCAGTTTGATTGTTTTATTCACAAATAGAATTATTTTTAATGGAATCTAGAATGTTTGAACGTCTTTAGAAAACACTTTCTACGAAACTTAAAATATTTGTACTTGTGAGATCGTTCAAAGCTGTAATAAATAAATAATTAAATTGAAATTATTTTTTCTTTAAAAATCGTCAAGACTTTCTTTACAATTTTATTTAAAATTAGTTCTTTGAATTACTTGTAAATATTAAATGCAGACTTGTTTAAAATTATCGTCTTGATTTAAAAATGTTACTTGTCCAAGAAAAGCTCTTGTTTAAAAAATACAAAATAAATCAAAATTCAATCGTTTAATCGTTGAAATTCTTATGAAGCTGACTTTTTCTCTCTAATTGAGATTTTCAGATTTAGAAAGCAATTAATTTTCACAATAAAAAATTTACTTGAAAATAAGAACAATTTTTTTAAATTTTCTCCCAATGAAAAATATACCTATATTTCTAAATAGATATATTTTCTTTTTATTAAAAATAGAATATCTAAATATTTTGTGTATGACGTGGGCAATATATGTGACTTGAACAGTTAAAAGTGACTTATCGTCTGGAAAAATCGATTCTCTGCGGATAGTTTTATCAAAACGAGCGTACTTTTTTTTCTTTCAGAGAATCAACGAAAATGTGAAAATCGATTTTTTCGGATAATAGTTATGTTTCAACTGTCCAAGTCATCATAAATATTAATAAAATCGTTAAGTAACTTTTGATTACGTTGTTGCATTCCAAAAATAAAGTTCCATTTTCCAATTTAGATTTGAAGATTTTTTGGAAAAAATTTCGGAGAATTAAATTATTTTCAAATATTACAATTACAATTCGTAAAAAATTTATTTTCAAAAATTGTACGAATAAAATACTTGAAAAAAAATCAATTATTGTCAATTAAAAATTTTATTTAGCAAAATTTCAATTATTCTAAATCGTTTTAATTGTGTATTTCGAAAATTTAATTTTAATTTGTTGAAATATTTGGAAGAAAAGTCGAAAAAGTCTCTTTTTTTAAAATAGTCAAAAGTCATAATATCCGAAGCTTAATAGTTAAAAAAATCGAAAAAGACAATTACCCGAGGCCTGAGTCCCAAAAAATTGTATAAATAAATTTGATAATGAATTTTGAAAAAATGAAGTGATAAAATTCTCATAATGTTGATTCAGAAAGGAAAAATGAAGAAAATAAATTTTGTCAACCTTCAGGATTGGTTTCACAGAGTCCCAAGTAGCACCTCGCATATCCACTACGACTGTAAAGCGCAGTCCTCTGGTTTCATCGTTTGGAATGGTTAGAAGATACTGTAAAAGTCGTCGATAGTCCTCGGGTTTTGCACGTTCGCGTCTTGGCGTTGTCGGAAACACCAGAACAGGACCTCCTCGACGATCTCGACTGCCAGGAAGTATAGCAAGGCGTTCTTGAAGGAGAGGAAGAACCTCGGCGGCCCTTGTACCATCCATGTTTTTGATTATAGTCTCAACTTATTCTAATCTGAAATAATGATTTTCAATTTATTTTTTTAATCCTTCTTTCCTTTCTTTCGTAAACAAAATTCATTATTAATTTATTACTAAGTATTAATATTCAAAATATAAATAAAGATTATTTAAAGTGACAATTATTTACGACCAACAAGTTTTGAATGTTTACTTAAACGAAATATTTTTAACAATATTACGAATTACAATGAAAATACAAAACACATTATCAGGGTTGCCAGAAAAATTTAATTTTGTTTTTCCCTAATTTCCAGACAAAATTTTGACTTTTTCCCTGACTCTAAAGAATATTCTGATTCACCCTAAAAATTATTAGGTACTCAAAAAAACTCCTTCAAAATTATTTTCACCATTTCAATTCAATTATTTTCTACAATTCTTGAATTAAATTCTTTTTTAAATCAATTATTTTTAATATTTTTTGAAAAAGTTCTGCTTGAGAATTTTCAAATCCATTTGTTTATACAATTCAATTTTACGAAATTTCAATTACTTGGAAATTCGTCAATTAAATATTTAAAAAATAAAAACTTGAAATAAGTTTAATAAAAATTCAATTAAACTTTTTCAAAAAAATTAATTCTACTGAATTGTCAGTCAAAAGTACAAAAAAATTCAGATTTTCCAAGATTTTAATTTAAAGCCTTTTCGAAATTCAATTATTTCTAAAAATTCACGGTATAATGATTTTAACATTCAATTATTATCTAAAATTTTAACTGAAATTCATTTTTATTAAATCAATTTTCAATAGAAAAATCTACGAAAATTCAATTATTTAAATACAAAAATAAATAATTTATTGAATAATTGAATGTTTCTTAAAATTGAATTCTTTTGACGAATTTTCATAACATTTTTAAGAATAATTACATTTTTCGAAGAATTCGATTAAAACTGTATTAAAAATAAGTAAAATATAGTGAAAAGTGTTCTTATTTTATGAAAATAATTGAATCCCTGTAAAATAAATTAATTATTTATGAAAATAATTGAATTATTGCGAAAAAATTTATAAAAAATTTGTAAATAATTGAATTCATGTGAAATTGTTATTATTTATGAAAATAATTAAACGTTTTCGTAGCATTTTATTAAAAAAATTTTTATGTACTTAAGAAATTGAATTTATTTGGAAAATTTTACATTGAATTGAGAAAAATTTTTGAAAATAATTGAAATTATGACATTAATTTTAAAAGTATGAAAAATTAAGATTTTCATAGATTTTAATAATTTGAAACCTTTTCGAAATTCAATTATTTCTAAAAATTAACGCTTAATGCTTTTAATATTCAATTATCGTATAAAATTAATTTTTTAATCAATTTTTACTAGAAAATTCTATACGAGAATTCAATTATTTAAATACGAAAATAAATAATTCATTGAATAATTGAATCTTTCTTAAAATTGAATTCTTATAAAAAATTTTATTAAGAAATTCTTAAATAATTGAATTCTTTCGACGAATTTTAATAAAATTTGCAAGAATGATTACACATTTCAAGGAATTCAATTAAAATTTTATTAAAAATAATTGAAATTCTATTAAGAGTTTTATTATTTACAAAAATAATTGAATCCCTGTGAAAAATTTTATTCTTTATGACAATAATTGAATTATTGCGAATAAATGTATAACAAATTTGAAAATAATTGAATTCATATGAAACTGTTATTATTTTTTGAAAATAATTGAATTTTTGCGAAGAATTTTATCAACATTTTTTTTTAAATAATTGAATTCTTTTGGGAAATTTTATTAAAATAATAGATACACAAAGTATTAAATTAAGAAAAATTTTTGAAAATAATTTAAATTTTGCCATAAATATTTACTAATATTTTTGAAAATAATGGAATTCTTATATAAAATTTTATCAACAATTTTTTAAATAATTGAATTCTTTCAATAAATTTTAATAAATTTTTTAAGAATAATTACATTTTCCATGGAATTCGCTTAAAATTGTATTAAAAATAATTGAAATTCTACAATGAGTTTTATTATTTGTAAAAAAAGTTTCAAACAAATTGATTTTTTTCGAAAATTTTTTTGCAAATTCTATTTTTAATAATTGAATTTTTGTGAAATTTTAATTTTTTTGAAAAAGAATTGAATACTCGTGTAGAAGTTTATCTAAATTTTTGTTTAATAATTGAATTCTTTTGAGAAATTTTATTAAAATTGTAAAATATATTGAAAATCATTAAATTAAGGAAAATTTTTGAAAATTAATGATATTTTGACATGATTTTTATTAAAAGTTTTTGAAAATAATTGAATTTTATTACTTTTTAAACTAATTGAATTCTTGTAATGAATATATTGTTTTTTATGAAAATAATTGAATTTTGCAATAAATTTTATAAAAATTCCTGAATATAATTGAATTTTGGAGAAGAATTTTGCTATTTATAAAAATAATTGAAAGGTTGATGAGAATTTTGAAAAAAAATTTAACTCCAATAAACAAATTAAATGAACGTAATTATTTTTATTTATTTATTTTATTATTTTTTTTTACTAAATTTTAATTTATTTCTAATTTTCAGAAACACAAAACATTGCAATAATTATCATTCTGATTTTCTTTAAATTAGCTTTATAATTGACAATAGAAAATTTGGAATATTTCATCAAATTTAAAATCGGTCATGCGACTATTTTTACGATAATAAAATAAATAGAACTGCAGGTATATAGAAAGAAATAATATTTTCTTTTTTAGATTTTAAAAATGGCATTCAATTGAAAGCTTGAAATATATATATATGAAAGGTATCAATTTTTAAATCAATTTCAATAATAAAGCTGCAGAAAATTTCATATTAGATTATATATTAAAGAGGAAATAAGATTACATCCAAATCCAATATAAAAATCTTGACTTGCTGTCATATCAAAGTGTCTTTAAATATTGAATATCGGAAAATTTTATTAGTGAATTACAATGGTATTCATGAATTTTGCAGTGCATAAATACACGCTTTACTCGACATTCGCTACAATCAAATTAAATGAATAGCACACTAACGTAAAGAAAAAACAATGCAAAAATGAAAAACAAATTTCAAATAAAGCTTTCATTAAAATTGTGCAAACAAAATCCAAACACGAAATTTTTTATATCAATATTCTTTTTATAAAAGAAAAATATACATTTTTCTCTCAATTTTTTTGAATTTGTGAATTTTTTTTTTAAATTATGTATGAAACTTTTTTACTCTGTATAAAAAAAAAAATTCTGAATTTCCTCCTGTGTCATAAATACTTTCTAATTTTTCACCATTTCAATGATGTAACAACCATGAAACGTTTGTTTGTTTATCATTAAGAAAAAATCATCAATTCACTCTTAACTAGCGAACCGTATAGCAACAAAAAAAAATGTTACATTACAATGTTTGTCATGTCTTTTAAAAATAAAAGAAAGATATTGATGTTTTTGATTAAATATAAAATCATTATTATTATTTCATAGGAATTAAGATTTTCAAAAAATTTTAAATTCAAACTTTTTCGAAATTTAATAACTTTTAAGAATATTATTATAAAACATGAAGATATCGATCACTCTGAGTCTTCGACTCGAAGTGATCGACATCTTCATGTTTCATAATAATTTAAATTTCCATAAAATTTAAAAAAAAATAAATAAATTACTTACAAAAATCTTAATAAAATCCTTAGCAAGAATTAAATTATTTTTACAAGTAATAAAATTTTTCACATGAATTCAATTATTTAAAAAAATCAAAATTTAGTAAAATTCGTTGTAAGAATTCAATTATTTTCATAAATAATAAAATTTTTCATAAGGTTTCAATTTTTTTTTTAATACAATTTTAAATAAATTCCTCGAAAAATGTAATTAATTTTTTTGCAAGAATTCAATCACATTTCAGCATTTCACAAATAATGAAATTCTTCGCTGAAATTCAAATATTTTCAAAATCTACTATTTTAATAAAATTGCTGAATAAAATTCAATTAAAAATAGAAAAATGTCATAAAAATCGGTGCAAAGAATTAAATTATTTTCAAGAATAATAAAATTCTTCACAGGATTTTAATTATTAAAAAAAAATGTAACAAAATTCGTAGGAAGAATTCGATTATTTTTATAAATAATATTTATAATAATATTTTTCATAGGATTTCAATTATTTTTAATAAAATTTTAAATAAATTTTTCGAAAAATGTAATTAAAATTCTCCGAAAAAATCCAATTACCTATAAATTAGTTTTAATAAATTTTGCAAAAGTTCCTTCAGAATTTTCAAATCAATTTGTTTACAATCAAATTTTTCAAAATTTCGATTATTTCTAAAAATTTAGGCTAAAATGCTTTCAATATTCAATTATTATCCAAAATTTAACTGAAATTCAATTTTTAAATAATCAATTTTTATTAGAAAATTCTATGAGAATTCAATTACTTAAATACAAAAATAATAAATTTATTGAATAATTGAATGTTTCTTAAAATTTAATTTTTTTGACAAATCCTAATAAACTTTTTAACAACACTACATTTTTCGAGGAATTCGATTAAAATTATATTAAAAATGAGTGAAATTCTGTGATAAGTTTTTTTATTTAGGAAAATAATTGAATTCCTGTAAATAAATTTAATATTTATAAAAATAATTGAATTATGGCGAAGAAATTTATAAAAAAAATTTGTAAATAATTGATTTTATGTGAAATTGTTATTATTTATGAAAATAATTAAATGTTTTCGTAGAATTTTATTAAAAAATTTGTTATGTACTGAAGTAATTGAATTAATTTGGAAAATTTAACTAAAATTGGAGTAGATATTGAAAATTATTGAGAAAATTTTTTTAAAATAATTCAAATTTTGACAAGAATTTTAAAAGTATGAAAAATTAAAGTTTACCAAGATTCAAATTTGAAACCTTTTCGAAATTCAATTATTTCTAAAAATTCACTCTTAATTCTTTTAATATTTAATTATTATCTAAAATTCATTTTCAATTAATTTTTTATTAGAAAATTCCACGATAAGTCAATTATTTAAATACGAAAATAAATATTTTATTGAATAATTGAATCTTTCTTAAATTTGAATTCTTATACATAATTTTATCAACAAATTTTTAAAAAATTAAATTCTTTCAATGAATTTTAATAAAATTTTTAAGAATAATTACATTTTTTGAGGAATTTGATTAAAATTCTATTATAAATAATTAAAATTCTGCAATGAATTTCGAAAAAATTTATGCAAATTCTGTTTTTAAAAATTGATAAGTAGAATATTGAAAATCCTTGAATTAAGAAGTATCTTTGAAAATAAATGAAATTTTGTTACGAATATTATTGAAATTTTTAAAAATAATTGAATTCTTCTGATGAATACTATTATTTATGAAAATAATTGAATTTTGCAATGAATTTTATTAATTTTGAAAATAATTGAATTTTGCAATGAGTTTTATAAAAATTCCTCAAAATAATTGAATTTTGCTACTTATTCATTTATAAAGATAATTGAAATGTTGACAATGTTTTTCCAGATTTTTTGAAAATAATTGAATTTCTGCAAAAAATTTTGTTAATTTTGAAAATAATTGAAAATTTGATTAAAATAGTAGAATTGAAAATAAATCATTGAATTGAGGAAATTTTTTGAAAATAATTCAAATTTTGCTAAGAATTTTATTAAAATTTTTGAAAATAATTGAATTTCTACGAAGAATTTTATAACTTTTGAAAATAATTGAATTTCTGCAATCATTTGTGACTTCTTCAAAATTCAATCTTTTTTTAGTGTTTTTAACTAAAATTCTTCTATAAATCCATTATTTTGAATTATTAAAATTTTTCTAAATTCTAAGTTCTTTGAAATTTGAAACCTTTTGAAGTTAATTTATTATAAAATTTGTAAACGCAACTGTATTAAAATTAAATTAATTTTGAAAAATTAAGTATACAATTATTTAGTAAATAATTTATAAGTAATAATTTTATAAGTAATTCTTTAAGAATTAAGTTGTTTGAAACTAAATTATTGTCAGAAAGAGAAGAAATTGAAAGTTTTGTATTAGAATTCGTGGTAATTTCATAGTTTATAAGGGAAACAAAAAAGACACAAAAATTCCGAAATTTCTTATAAATTCTAAAAATTAAATTTTTTCCAGTGCTTTTAATAAAAATCCCCTACCTATGGCAACCCTGTTAAATAAATATTTATAACATTGAGATTTAATGACAGTAATGACACATCACTGATATTTTGCCCTGATGACGAAAGGACGCCAACATAAAATAGAAGAAAATTTGTTGAAAATTGAGCTAAACACTAATCAACCCTGACACAGAAATGCATTAAAACATCAAAACACTAGTTGGTAAAAGTGAAAATTCCCACGAAAATATATATTTCCTTCATCCGTGGGAAAAACGGTACTTTGACATTGCGTAAAATGACATAGGATTGCAAAGGAAACCAAGGTTGAAAATATGCAATTAGCGAATATTGAGTATCATTGAGAAAAAGAAGAGAAAACTGCTAAACACTTGGGACTAAACAGCGCGCTTGACACAATAATTCAGAACAAGTAATATTTGAAACAAATCAATTTTTCGGCACAAGTGACTTGACGAGCGTGTACATGCCAACAATGTCTAAATATCTTTGAAAAAAAATTCGTCTACACACTCGAAAACGACTCACGAATCGTCCTCTGGACATTGGAGAACCACTCTCTACGTTCCGGAGTCGTGGGCATTGTTGACCGGTTCGGGGGGGGCTTATAAATAGACGCGAGAAGCCGATTGTCAAATCCACCCCCAACGAACAACAATATTACGATAGTAGTGAAAACCTATATGAATCTCCCTTACCTGAGCGTGTACTCGTCTCCGAGAATTTTAAATCGTCCTGCTTACACTGCAGGCACACAGCACTTGGACTCTCGGTGAAAACTCCGTCACGGCTCATATTGTCGAGCACACAAAATTTACGCTAATAACGCGAGAAAGTCGCCTTCGTCCATGTTCTTCGCCATTCTTCGCATTCTGCACCGTTTTCGCTGCACTTGTAAATTCACTTCTAGCCATGAAATAATGGGAATATTCCCCTGTTATATTTCAATCTTTCCCGGATATTTCCCTCTAATATTTCAATATTACTTGGTAAATTTGCAATAATATCGGAATAATAGTTGCAAGTTTTGGAAAGATTTCCTAAGATTTCCTTTATTTTTCAGGTTAGGTTAGATTTAGCAGCAAGACAATACGCATGCGCCGATCCCTATTTTCTGATTGGTTGATTCGTCTATACACGAAATTTAAAATGAAACAAAACTAATTGTTATTATGAATAATATGACTTAATTTAATTATCTATAATTTAAGTTTTATCAATTAAATGTCTTTATTTACGAAACAGTTTTTAAAAATAAAAAAGAATTTGTAGCTTAGTCTGTAGAAAGAATAATTAGATCTGTTTTCTTTATTAGCGCCCCTGGTGATGAAAGTGGACAATTTTTGTGTTTAAATGACAACCCTGTATACGTCACAATCGTCACAAATTCGCGATTCTTGGACTCTAATTAACCCTGCGTTTTTTTATTTTCTATTAAAGTTAAGTGACATTAATTAAAGCGTATTTATAATTCTTGAATTCAAGGAGAAAATTATTTAACTGCAAAATGACGAGTACAGTGACTACAAATCAATCTACTCTGCTACCTCTGGGTAAGAAAAATAATTAATTTCCTCATTGTTTTTTTTCAAATGAAATGTAAACAATTAGTAGGCATTGGGGACAAATGTTCTAACCAGGTTTTTTTAAAGACTTTTTTTCGAACTTGAATTCCCGTTCCAAGAAATTAAGAGATCTCTTATCTGAAATTAATCTTTTTTAAAACAACCCATGTTTCCATTTGAAGGGTTTATGATTGTTAGATTTATAAGTTCTAAGAATATTTATAGCAAATATTTTGTGTACTTGAGTTGAGAATAATTTATTTTCAATTCGTGCTAGACAGTTGTTAATGATTCAATTGTTCTTTAATTTGTTCAATTGTTTATTTACATTATTGTATGAGATCCACATTTGTCTCTAAGGTCTCTAACGTCTTTTTAACGATTTTAAATTACTTATTTCTAGATTAAATTGAAGCGGAAAATAGAAAAATAAATAATAATTTTCTTGCTTTAAATTAATATATACTTGTAACAAAAATAATAAATCAATATTAATAATTTAAAGTGCGTTATTTTCAAGTATCGTGAAACATAACCTTAAAATACATGAAATAAATTGAAAATACCTTTAGATATTTTAAAAATCAATATTTATGTATTTAAATCAATATTTATGGGAAATTTACATGATTATTTAATGTTTGTAGAATTGGTGGACAAATGTATCGGCTCGAGGATACATATTATTATGAAAAACGACAAAGAAATCGTTGGCACTCTTCAGGGTTTCGACGATTTTGTAAATATGCTTCTCGAGGATGTTACCGAAAGTGAAGCAACGCCGGAAGGACGAAGGGTTACAAAATTGGACCAAATTCTCCTAAACGGAAATAATATTACGATGGTAATATTATTAAATTTTCAATTGACAATCAGAATATTCAGGCCTCGGATAATATAACTTTTTTCGATTATTTTCAAAAAAAATGCGACTTTTTCGATTTTTCTTTCACCTATTTGCAACAAAATACCACTTTTTTGGTATAAAATGATAAATATTTCAATTTTCAAAATGTGAAAAATAATTATGGTCAAATCTTTTTCTCTAAAGGGTTTTACATTTTTTTCTATGAAATAAAAAAAAAGTTATTAAAAGTGAAATTATGCATTAAAATAAGTATAAAAAATTTAATTTTTAATATTTTTCAAAATTTATATTAGAATTAGACTTTTTGAAAAATATTTTTATTAATTTCGTCAATAAAATAAGTTACCAAAAGTCAGGAGAATCAAGAAAGTCAGAAAATTTTATCTAAAATTGTGAAAAATTACCAATTTGATAGAAATGATACAAAAATGATTGTTTTTGAGATCCTTTCAAAATATTAATATTTTAAATTGTTCTTAAATTTTCTTTTTCACTTTTAAAACTCTAAAAAAATACGAGAAAAGTTACAGTTGCAATTTTTATTGAAAAAAATTGAATTTTCGAATTTAAATACTTGAATTCTCGAAGAAGTTTTTAAAAATTATTAAACATAATTCATTGAGACAAAAGTTTTAATATAAAATTCTAAAAAAATAATTAAATATTGTTAGAGTTATAGTAGATATTGTTAGAAATAATTAAATTTCAAAAGGTTTAAAAGCAGAATTTTAAATAATTTTAGTGGTGTTTGAATTGAAGCTTTTTTTCTAAATAAATGAGTTGTCAAAAAATGTTTTTAAATTTCTTAAAATTAATTTATTTAGGAAAAAATTTTAGTTGAAATTCTAAAAATAATTGATTTAAAGAAGAATTTAAGTTAAAATTTTCGGAAATAATTAACTATTGGAAGAGTTATACCATAAATTTTTAGAATTTGAATTTCAAAAGGTTTAAAATTTGATTTTTAAATAATTTTAATTAAAAATTCTAAAAAACTTAGTTTCTTGAAAAATTTTAATTTATACTTTTGTTTAAAATTAGTTAAATTATTGAATATACTTTTAATGGAAAAATGATCGAAATGTAAAATTAAATGAAAAACAATGAATTGAAATTTTTGAATGAAAATTTCATAAAACTTTAATATTAGTAATATTTTAATTCAATTTCTTTTTCTAAATAATTCAGTTGTCAAAGAAAGTTTTCAAATTTATTAAAATTAATTGATTTAGAAAAAAATTTTAGTTGAAATTCTAAAAACTAAAAAAAAACCACATGTAGTTACAGTTTCAATTTTAATAATGAATTAAAATTTTGAATATACAATTAATTTAAAAATTTTCGAAAAATCGAAATTTCGTGAAATTGATTTAAATTTTTGAAATAATTCAATTCACAAAAAATATTTGAAAAATTATTAAAAATAATTGATTTAGAGAAGAATTTTAGTTACAAATTTTAGATAATAATTTAATATTGGAAGAGTAATAGTAGAAATTTTTAGAAAAATTTGAAGCTCAAGATGTTTAAAATTGGATTTTCAAATAGTTTTAAAATTAAAAAATCTAAATAAAACCTAGTTTTTTTTTTAAAAATGATTTTAATTCAAATTTTTGTTTGAAATTTGTTGAATTTTTGAATAAATGAATTTTAATTGATTATTTTTCTAGTATTCGAAATGATGTAAAATTGAATTGAAAACAATTGAAATTTAGATTTTTTCGAAATAATTGATTTCTCAAAGAACTTTCTCAAATTTATTGAAAGTAATCGATTTAACGAAAAATTGAAGTTAAAAATTCTAGAAATTTAAAGAAGACTATGTTCCAATTTTAATAAAAAATTGAACTTTTATATTTAAATAATTATGAAATTCTCGAAGAGATATTTTGAATATAAACAAATAATTTGATTTAGAGAAGAATTTTTTAGTTACAAATGTGAGAAAACAATTGAATTAAATTTCAAAAGGTTTTTCTAAAACTTAATTAAAAAATTGAATTTTATAAGTAATTTAAGTAAACTTTGTTTTTTTCTTGAATAAATTGAAAATTATTAAAGATAATTTATTCAAAACTTGTTAAAAATAATTAAGTTAAAAAGGGTTTTAAATAGGGATTTTTGAAAATTTAAATTGTCACAGAAATTAAATTATTCAATAATATTTAAATTTTTTTAAAATTATATTTTTGAATAATTTTTTTAAAAAATTCTAGAAAATAATTATACATACTTTGAAAGAATTACAATTGAATTTTTTAGAAAAATTGAAATAAAAAGAAAATTTCTTTCTTTTCCGACTTTTTTTGTATTTTGAATCTACTAAAACGACTTTTTTGCGTCTTAAATTATTCCGAAGCCTGGATTTAAAATCAAACAAATAAATGAAATCGAAAATTATCACATTCAAATTTTCTTTCTTTTTGTTCTAGCTCGTTCCTGGAGGAGAAATGCCAGACACGTAGAAACATGAAATTCTCCAAATCTTTTCTTATTTCTTGCAAAAAAAGACTTATACGAAATATTTCCTTTTTTTAATAAATCTTTCTTTTTTTAACAAATTCTAACAAATTTTAATTTTTTGCGCTCATTAAAAGAGTGAAACCTTAAAATTGTAAATTAATGAACGCCACTTATCAACTTGTCCAGTTCAGTGATAATGACAATTAAAGCTGGTCTACGTCTTCTGTTTTCCGCCCACATTTCTACATACAAATCATTGTATTTTCCGTTAAAACCATCATCGCATTTTACGCTAAATGGCCTCGATCCACAACCTGTGAGGTATAAAATGGTGTGTCTGTGCAGGCCTTGAAATGGCGATTTTCTGGAGAGCATTTGCCAAGCTACCACTCCTAAGGAATAAATGTCTGCTGCTGGCGTTGGCACTTCACCTCTCACCACTTCAGGTGCTGCATATCCTGGAGTTCCCTAAAAATTAGGCAAAAAAAAAAAAATAGAACCAAAATATCATCTGAAATACTTTTTTAGATGATTTTTTTTCTTCTTACGAAATAGGTATTTAAAAAGTTATTAAAAATTGCAGAGAAAGATATTTTAAATATTCTATTTCTATTTTCAAAAATCAACTTTTAAAGAATTTTAATTGAATTCCATTAAATCAATATTTTCAATATTTCCGAAAATTCAAAAACATGCACAAAATAAAAAAAAAAATTTTTAGAATTGTTTTATCATAATTTTTTAAGATTCAATTACCTTCGAACAAAGTAAATTAAAATTTTTAAAAAATAATTTAAATTTCTTAAAATCTTTTAAGAATAATTGAATTTTTAAAAAATCAAATTTTTGATGAATTTTAATTAAATATATTATAAATTTATAATTATTTATAATTTATAATTTATAAATATTATAAATATATTAAAAATTTAAATTTGGTAAAATCTTTAAAAAAAATAATTTAAATTTATTAAAATCTTTTAAGAATAATTGAATTTTGATAAAATCTTTCAAAAATAATTGAATTTTTAAAAAATATTTTAAAAATTCAAATTTTTGAAGAATTTTAATTAAATTGAAATTAAAATTAATATTAAAATTAAATTTCTTCAAAAATTTGAATTTTCAAAATATTTTTTAAAAATTCAATTCTTTTTGAAAGATTTCATCAAAATTCAATTATTTTTCAAAGATTTTAATAAATTAAAATTTTTTTAAAAAACATTTTACCAAATTTTAATTTTTTTGGACATTTTTTAATTATATGTAATTGTAAAACTATTGTCTTTCAAAAATTATGAAGAAATATTTTTTTATTTCTTGTAGAAAAATAAATTAGAATTATTTAATTATTTGTTTCAAAAAATTATTCAAGTTTTGCATAATTGAATTTGGAAATTAGTGAAGAATCAGGGAAATTCAAATTAAAATTTTTGTAACAACACTAAATTAAATAAACGAATTTTTTTCTATTCTTAATCGACTAAAGCGATTTTTTTTTGCTCGTTAAAATTAAATTCGAATAAATAATAATAATAACGCTAATTGTTCGAGCTTATCACAATTATTTTAAAACTCCCGCTAATTTTCTTGTTTCCTTCCGGAGAATTTAAAAGAATTTTCCACGAATTTTCTCTACTTCAATTATTTGAATGTATCTCCCGTATCTCCCTATTTTCAACCTTTTTTAAAATAAAAATTGATAAATAATTAACATTGCATAATATAAATTTGAAAATGACAAATTAGTAAAAGAAATACTTAAAAACAATTTGAAAAAGGATAATATTTTGAAGGTAATTGTAAAGGTTGTAAAATTTATAGATTTTTTAGGTTATGTTTAAATGTTTTACTGTTCATGTTCGTTTTATTGGTTTTGTTATGTAGTTTTTATTGTAAAAAAAATTGGAAGCGTAAAAATTAAATTCTATTTTAATTGAATAATTAAAAACCTTTTAAAAAAACTTAGAAATAATTGTTTGACAAATTCTCATAAATTCTCCAGGAGAATTTTGGTCAGTTATATTTCTGGGTAATATTTCACTTGGCGACTTGGCGTTGGCATCATTCTTTGTCAATTGTCGCCATTACGCTTTTTTTGCCATCATTCACACACGTCTCCGAGTTAAAGTCGAATATATTTAATAAAAGTTTAGACAATGAGTCGCGATAAATATCATAAAAATAAATCAAAAAGATCAAGAAGAAGTCACAAGAGTAAAATGGAAAAAAATGATGAGTTACACGAGTTACGCAAAGAATTAAAGGATCTACGGAGCATGGTGAGAAATAGTCGTGACCGATCACGGTCTATTAGGTCAAATAATACAAGAAGGACAAGAAGCAATTCGAATAAACGATCGAGAGACGACAATTATTATGGTGACGAGCGTGACCCGAGAGCCGCGTCACGCCATAGTCGTCGCAGGTATCGTTCTCCGTCTACTTCGCTTTCATCGTCAACGTCATTGTCTTCGTTATCCTCTTTGTCCGTCTCTGAATCATCGTCATCGTCACATTATGAAAAACGGTAATGAAATTTACAGTTAAATAGTAAACGGGGTGTCTACTAACCGGTTATTTCAGGAAATTAATTATAATTGTGAATCGAAAATAACTTGTATTTGGAGGTTATGTTGCCAATTATAACGTGGAGCAATTTTTGTTCTTAAATAAAAATAATTAAATTAATAATAGTTTTAATGTGTTTCTTTTCGTAAAATTATATCGAGTAAGGTCTAAAATAACTTTTTCAAATGACTATATTATTCTAAAATAGTAAATAATTATTTTTTTCACAAAGTCGACATAATTGGCACACTTTTATCCTATACGGAATTCTTTTATAATTTATAGTGTCTATGACATTCAAAAGTGGTATTTTTCCTCGCAATTACAGAGAAATTTTTTACAGTGCATCATCATCATCATCATGGACGTCATTGTCTAGCAGCTCAAGCTCAAGTGCCTCAGATCGAGCGTCACGGAAACGACGCAGACATCATTCACCTGCAGGCGACAACTCTTTCGAATATTCGAGCAACTCTTTCGAAAATGTCGACGAAAATAAACAAAATGTCCCAGAACATAATTCTTCTTTACCAGAGCTTTGGCTACAAATTTCCAAGTCAGGATACCCCGAGGAGGAAACTAAGGAACTCATCGAAAAGTACCCAATTCACAGTATCTTAAAAGATTTGCAATCTCGGGAAATTGACCCAGAAATTAAATCAGTAATAGATAAATCAGTTCTGGAGGAGGACAAGCAACTAGAGCTTTTGCAAAAGCAATTAAGCGCCGGCACGACAGCCATAGGAATCTGTTTGACAGAATTGTTAACAAAACTAAAGGCTGAGATTGATATTCATCAGGTGATTAGTCGTTTGGAAGATGCAGGAAAAATACTTTCAGACTTACACCACAAAATTTCAATGAATCGGCCATCATTAATCACCCCGCGATTGAGTGAGATTATGAGATCTGTCGCGAAAGACTGTGAAGTTGACACTTGGCTTTTCGGGAAGAATTTTGGGGAAAAACTTAAAGCGGCAATAGTAGCGGAGAAATCCGGTAATAAAATTGCGAAAACGACAAATGGTAATCGTAAGGAAAGGGAATATCGAAAGGAATCAAAGTCTTCAAAATCCGAAGGATCCCGCAAGAGGAGTAGAAAGGGGACTCGTCAGGGGAGACAAGAGAGAAACCAACGAAATCGCGACACGAGAAGTCTTAGCCGAACATCGAGTAAGTATTTTTGCCGGGAGACCAAGAATGTCTCAAATTGAGTAAAACTGAACCCTTTAAATTGCAGGATACGAAATTACTTTCATATCCAATCCTTAGCTTTTTTTAGATTTCAGCCACTAAAAGCTATTTTTGTTTCTTTTTTAAAAATTTAAACTACTTTAAATTCGCTAATGCTAGAAATCAAAAAACTATTCTTAAAAATTATAATCGAATTTTTTTTAACGATTCAATTATTCAAGAAAAATATTCGAAATTCAATTATTTTCTATATCTTCTAGTATTTTCATAAAACTGCAAAAGAAAAGAATTTAATTAATATTTAAAAAAATAAATATTGATAAAATTCATCCAAAATTCAATTATTTTCATAAAATATAAAATTTACACAGGAATTTAATTAATTTACAATTGTGTTTTCAAAAAAATTACTAATAATAACATTTTTCATGCAAATTTAATTTTTTTCAAAAATAACAAAAACTTTCACAGAAATTCAATTCTTTTTAAACATTTAATTAAAATTTTTCGCAATAATTCAATTATTTTCATAAAAAATAAAATTCTGCTCAGGAATTCAATTATTTTTGAAAATTCTTAGCAACTATTTAATTATTTTCATAAATAATAAAATTCATCGCAGGATTACAATTTTTTAAATACAATTTTACAGGAATTGCTCAAAAAATGTAATATTTCTTAAAAATTTAATTTCAATTCCTCGAAAAAATCAATGATTTAAAAAAATGATTTTTTAAAACTGTTTTGAAGAATTCAATTATTTACAAAAATATTAGAATTTTTCACAAGAAATTCAATTATTTTCAAATATTTTAATAAAATTTGTTCCAAATAAATCAATTATTTTAAATACAATTTTAATTAAATTTTTTTCAAATAATTCAATTATTCTTTTAGATTTTAATAAAATTCTTCCCAAGAATTCAATTATTTACATAAATAATTCTTCGATAGAATTCAATTAGGGGTCGTCCATATACCACGTGGACACTTTTGGGGGGAGGGGGGGTTAAAAAAAGGTTGAAAATGTCCACGATCCCATGTATTTTTGTGTCCACAAGGGGGGAGGGGGGGTCAAAAATCTTTGAAAAACTGTCCACGTGGTATATGGACGACCCCTTATAGCAATAAATATCAAAATTATTCCCAAAAATTTAATTATTTTGAGGCATTTTAATAAAATTCTTTGCTCTTTGGAAGAATTCATTTATTTTTAAATATTTCAAAAAAATTTCGAAAAAATCAATTATTTAACAAAATTTTTATAGAATTCTTCACAATAATTCAATTACTTTCACTAATAAAAACATTTTTTCATGGAAATTCAATTTTTTAAAAAATTTTTGATAAAATTCTAAGCAAGAATTAAATTATTTTCATAAATAAGAAAATTCGTCGAAGAATTTCAATTATTTTTAATACTATTTTAATTTAATTAATCGAAAAATATAATTATTTTTAGAAATAAAGTTTTCCACAAGAATTCAATTATTTAAAATAAAATCTTTATTATACAATTTTACAAGATTTGCTTAAAAAATGTAATTATTCTTAAAAATTTAATTTAAATTCATCGAAAAAAAACAATTATTTAAATAATATTTTTTTTAAATTCTTTGGAAGAATTCAGTTATTTACAAAAATATTAGAATTTTTCACAGAAATTCAATTATTTTCAAATATTTTAATAAAACTGTTCAAAAGAAATCAATTATTTAAAATACAATTTTTACATTTTTTTGAAATAATTCAATTATTCTTTTAGATTTTAATGTAGGAAATTATTTGCTGATGAAGAATTTTAATTAAGGAAGATTTCGACTATATCAGCAATTAGTGACATCTATTAGAAGTCAATTGAACTCTTTGGTTTAGAGTCAGGTGTTATTCTTAAGATAATTATTTTCTTAAGATAATTATTTTAATTATCTTTTAGATTTTAATAAAATTCTTCCCAACAATTCAATTATGTCGATAAGTAACAAAATTATTCCTGAAAATTTAATTTTTTTGAGGTATTTTAATAAAATTCATGGCAAAATTAAATTATTTTCATAAATAACAATATTCATCGCAAGAATTCAATTATTTTTAAAAGTAATACATTTCTTTTTGGAAATTCAATTTTTTAAAAAAATTCTAATAAAATCGTTCGCAGGAATTCAATTATTTTCATAAATAATAAAATGCTTTTTAGAAATTCAATTATTATGAAAAGAATTTAATGAAATACATCATAGACATTCAATTATTGTCAAAAATTTTTAATAGAATTCTTTGTAAAATTTAATTATTTTCAAAAACTTATCGCAATTCTATGATTATCAATGTCTACTATTTTCATAAAATTTCTAAACAGAATTTAATTATTTAAAAATTTTTTGTAAAAATCTTCTTAAGAATTTTAGTTTCTTTTCATGAATAATAGAAGTTTCTCATGAATTCAATTATTTAAATTAGAATTTGCATAAAATTAGTTTGAAAGAAATGAATTATTTAAAAATTTTTCTAAAATGCTTCGCAAGAATTAAATTATTTTTATAAATATTGAAATTCTTTCATAAATAATAAAATTCGTTGCAGAAATTCAATTTATTTGGAGGATAAGAAAGAATGAAATATTTTTGTTGAAAATTAGGGAAAAGTCAAGGAAATAAAATATAGAATGAAATTTTTGTCAGTTTTGTGAATTGTCTAAAACAAGTTTTTTTGTTCGCCAAGTTTAATTTTTTGATAGCTACTTTTTTACTATACTTTTTTAGTGTGAAAGCTGCTTTTTTAAAATTAATTATCGAGTGCGAAGTAACTTCTGTAAACTTTCTTCTTATTCTTTAAACCTTTAAACCAAATGTTGATTTACTTGTTTCTTCTTTTAGGAAGAAACACCTGTTAGCTGAAAAGCTTACTCTAGGAGGATAAGGATCTCGGCAACAAGGTTAGACCTCATTATCAGAAGCTCCGATATCTCACAAAAATTTGGACCAAAAACAGATTTATAATTTAAAGATTTCTTAAAGAAACGGATAACTTTCATCGTATTAGCGCCTTCAACGCTTCAGTTTCGTTTACGAAAAAAAAGGGAGTAAATATAATTTGTTAATCAGAGACTTTGTCTAATTATTAGACAGACCGCAGGTTGGTCAGATAAGGTAAGTTCATTTGGAAAATGTTATAACCATTATTCATTCCGTGATAATAAAAATAATTTTGTAAGTTGTGTTTTTTATAAGATTGCAATGTAAATAAATTGCATACTTATTCAAATCGAATTTTTATCTTTGAACTACAATTGATCTGCAAGTGACGTTTAATCGAAACTTTGCAAGTAGATCTCTTCCCAAAAAATACCCGAATTAATTTTACTAATTTTTTTCTGAAATTTACTTCGTATGTCGTTAAATTAATATAATTTTGAAACAAAAATAGCGTTGTAATAAAAATTTTGATTGAAAATTTAAAAATATTTACGGGCTACGAAAAAAGATAACAAAAATATCAAATAATTAACGGAAAAAGTTTAACAGAAAAAATAAATTGATTTGAAAAAGCTGAAGTTAAAAGAAAAAGTAAAAAAATCTTGAAATTAAATTTTACGCGCTATAAATACAATAATTTTTACTTAATCTAAAATTCCCCTTTTTTTACATAACGTTACATGAAAAAATCACTGATTCCTGAATCAGGAATTAATTTCAAAGGATTTGATTTAATAGTTTAAATTATTACTTGATTGATGAATACGTAATGAAACCCACATGGAAAACATATTCGAGGCACGATTCATTCAGCAGAACAGAGCTTCCAAAATCGGCGAGTTTCGGTTGGCTGTCAACACCAAAGAGAATATTTTTCGGCTTAACGTCGCCGTGAACGATTCCAGAATTGTGACAAAATCTGAGAGCACTGGCAATTGCTTTCCAAATGGAAACCCTCTCCACAGGATCGAGGGATGTTTTCTCGAGCTTCTCCTCAAGTGAATTCTCACACAACTCCATCGTTATCACGGAGAGAAGATCTCCTTCCTCGATTGCCAAAACTTTAATGATATTCTCATGCGCCAACGAGGCGGCGTGCTTCTCCGCTTCGAGAATTGAATCTCCATGCTTCTTACGATCGACCAATTTTGCAGCCACCTTATCTCCTAATCGTTAAGATTACGTTAAATTTACTTTTTAATGCACTCGAGTAAAATGAAGCCATTTATGAAAATTACCCTTATACGACGCTCTGTAAACTTTTCCGAAACTTCCGGAACCTAAGACAGTTGGATGTTGATTTTGAAGACCTTTGTTAACTAGCAGTTTTCTGTTTGGAGTATCGACTTTAAATGGAGTGAGAAAAGTTTCTTTACTTCTTTCAGGCTCGTTTAGAAGGTTTCGTCTGACATGCGAAGAAACTGGAGATAATCTATATATAGAGACAACTTTTTCAAATAGCAAATAAATTAGAAGAAAAATTTACTACTCAACTTTTTCTATTTTAATTGAAATTTTGTATTCAGGGCTCGAACTAGGTCCGAAAATCCCGTAAAAGTCTGTAAATTTGCTTGAAGTCCGTGAAAGTCCGTTTTTTTGAAAAAAGGTCCGTAAAGACCGTAACTTTATTGAGAAAAGACGAAAACTTCGTAAATTGTACGATATAATTTATAGAATTTTAAAGAAATTACAAATGATTGCAGAAATTCAATTATTTTCAAAAGTAATAAAATTCTTCACAAAAATTCAATTATGTGTTCAAAAATATTTAAAAATTCTCATTAAAATTTCAATTATCTTTAGAAATATAATTAAATTCTTCTCCGAAATTCAATTATTTTTAAAAATTTTTCTCAATTCAATGATTTTCAATATCTATTTTCATAAAATTTTCCAAAAGAATTCAATTATTTTAAAAAAAAATTTAATAAAATTGTAAACAAACTTTTAATTATTTTCAAAAAATAATAAAAATAATACAGGAATTTCATTATTTACAAATTTTTTCTATAAATTTCTTCGCAATCATTCAATTATTTTCATAAATATTAAAATTTTTACGGAGATTCAATTATTTTCGTAAATAATAAAATTCTTTTTATGAATTCAACTATTTTTGAAAATTTTAATAAAACTCGTAAAAATTTCAATTATCTTTATAAATAATAAAATTCTTTTTAGGAATTCAATTACTTTCTAAAATTTTAATAAAATTCTCGTTAAAATTTCAATTATCTTTATAAATAATAAAAATATTCTGCAAAATTCAACTATTTTCAAAAATTTTAATAAAATTCTTGTCAAAATTTCAATTATTTTCAAAAATTCTCCACAATTCAATGATTTTCATTAGCTACTGTTTTAATAAATTTTTTCAAAAGAATTCAATTATTTTCAAATAATTCCGATAAAATTTTACGCGAGGATTTCGGTATTTTCTTAACCCTTTGAGGACCAAATTTTTTCTTAAAAAATCGCGATTTTTCATTTTTAAGCAAACTTTTCAGGGAAAGTTATTGAAGTTTTTTACTTAAAGACCAGTGTTTGTGATACGAAATTTTCCAGACTATGCGAAAATTATTGTTTCAATATTCAGTTTTGAAAATTAAGAAATTTATGCCCGAGTTAATAAAAAAATGTTCATGTTGCCTGAAAGCAACACTGGTCCTCAAAGGGTTAAATAATAAAAATTTCACAGAAATTCAATTGTTTACAAATTTTATTAAATTTCCTCGCAATAGTTTCATTTATTTTCATAAATACATTCAATTTTTCAATAAATTATTTATTTTTGTCTTTAAATAATTGAATTCTTGTAAAATTTACTATTAAAAATTGATTTAAAAATGAATTTTAGTTGAAAGCAATAACAAAAATTGGATTTTAGAAACAAATTACAAATAATTGCGGAATTTCAATTATTTTGAAAAAATAATAAAAATTCTTCGCAGAAATTCAATTATATGTTAAAAAATTTATAAAAATTCTCATCAAAATTTCAATTATTTTTTTACAAGCAATAAAATTCTTCTCCGAAATTCAATTATTTTCAAAAATTTTCCTCAATTCTTGACAAAATTTCAATTATTTTTACAAGCAATAAAATTTTTCTCCGAAATTCAATTATTTTCTAAAATTTTAATAAAATTCTTAGCAAAATTTCAATTATTTTCAAAAATATTGATAAAATTCTATGCAAACATTTAATAATTTTTATCAATCATAAAATTCTTTTTGGGAAATCAATTATTTTCGTAAATAATAAAATTCTTTTTAGGAATTCAATTATGTTCATAAATAGTAAAACTCATTGCAGAGTTTCAATTATTTTTAATACAATTTTAATTGAATTCCTCGAAAAAATTCTTAAAAATTTTATTAAAATTCGTCAAAAGAATTCAATTATTTAAAAATTTGTTAATAAAATTCTTTATAAGAATTCAATTTTAAGGAACTGGCAATTATTCAATAAATTGTTATTTTTGTATTTAAATCTTTGAAAATTTGAATTTTCCATATTTTTATAACTAACAATTCTGTGAAATTAATTTTTTTTTTTGAGAGAAACTTTAATTGCAGATTTTTTTTATTATTTAAAGTTTTTATTTTCGAATATATATTTCATTCAAGAATTTACGAAAAATTAAAATTTTGTAAAATTGAATTGTAAAAAAGTGAATTTGAAAATTCTTAAAGAACTTTTTCAAAAATTATTAAAAATAATGGATTTATAGAAGGTGTTTAGTTAAAAACACGAAAAAAAAATTTAATTTTGTAAAACTTACAAATTATTGCAGAAATTCAATTATTTTCAAGAGTAATAATATTCTTTGCAAAAATTAAATATTTTTTAAAAATAATAAAATCCTTCTTAGCAATTCAATTATTTTCACAAATAATAAAACTCATTGCATAATACAATTTTAATCAAATTCCTTGAAAAATGTAATTATTCTTAAAAATTTTATTAAAATTTTTTTGATAGAATTCAATTATTTGAAAATTTGTTGATAACAATTCTTTATGGGAATGGAATTTTAAGAAACATTCAATTGTTCAATAAATTATTTATTTTTGTATTTAAATAATTGAATTCTCGGGAAATTTTCTAATAAAAATTGATTTAGAAATGAATTTCATTAAAAATTTTAGATAATAATTGAATATTAAAAGCAATATAGCGTGAATTTTTAAAAATAATATTGAATTTTGAAATTAATGTTTTTGAAAAAGTTTAAATGAATTTTTTAAAAAATATTATTTTAAGTTTTTATTTTCTAATATTTACATAATTTTAATGAATAATTAAAAGGAATAGCTCTGAATAACTTTCAGGAATAACTGAAATTTCGAAAAATTGAATATTGTAAACAAATGGATTTGAAAATTTTCAAGAAGTACTTTTTCTAAAATTATTAAAAATAATTTATTTAAAGTAGAATTTTAGTTAAAAATTTTTATTTCTTTTTATATTTTTGTCAGTAATTGGTCCGTAATTTTTTTTTTTTAAATTATTAAAAATAATCGATTTAAAGTAGAATTTTAGTTAAAAAATTTTTTTTACGGTTATATTTTTGTCAGTAATTGGTCCGTAAATGGTCCGTAATTTTTTATTTTTGGTCCGTAAAGTACGTATTTTTAAATACTTTCATTGGTTCGAGCCCTGAAATCACACTCGTAATTTTTTATCACTATTTTGTTCTTACTCACAAATAAATTGATCAAAATATTTTTTAATTATTAGATAATTCTTTTGTTTCAGTAGAAAAATTTAATACTTGAATGTACTTACTTTTGAATATTAATAGATGTCGATGATGGTGATAATCGCCTTAATCCTGATTTTAGAGCTTGAGGTGATGCCATTTTTACTGTTGACTATAAAAAAAATAAATAAATAAATAAATGGTTTTATCCATTAAGGATTTTGTTGAAAGTGTAAAATGATTTATTGTCGAAATTAAAGAGCACTTTGAAACGTGCGAATGAGATCATTGTCAATACAAGACTGGCTTAAATATTTAGATCGTGTTTATTATTCTCCATTGAAATAGCAAATCAAAATATTTGGCATCGTTTTTAAACTTTAAATTTTTGAAAGCATTTTAGAAATGCGAAAAATCAATTTTTATTTTATACTTATTACTAGAACTTGATATCAACTTAAAATACTTTCATTATTGTCATTAAATTTATTTTTGACCGTTTATTTATTTATTGAAATATTGAAAGATATATTCAGTATAACTTTCACACAAGGTATGATACAAAATTAGAAACTTAATGTCTGAAACTTGTAATTAACAGAAATAGTTTAACAAAAATAATAATTTGATTTAAAAAAGCTGAAGTTCAAAGAAAAAGTAAAAAAAGTCTTTAAAATAATTTTTATTCGCTATAATACAATAATTTTTATTTAATTTAAAAATTCCTCTTTTTTTAAACTGAATCCCTTTTTTTTACCTAATATTACAAAGTTACAAAATTTTTTATTAAGTAGTTAATTTTAATTAAAAAAAAAATTAAAGAAGTGAATTAAAATTTTTTTTTAATTGAAATTTTTGAAAAATTTTATTTAAAATTCTAAAAAATTAATTTTTTAATTATATTTCAATTTTGATTTTTAAAAACAATTGAAACTTTATGGACAAGTAAAGTTGGATTTCTGTAATAATTTATATTTCCGAAATTATTTTTCAATTTTTATAATTGAATTTGTTAAATTTTTAAATGTTACAAAAAAATCGTGGAAATTAAATATTAACCACAGTAATACATTTTATTTTTAAAATAGTCTTAAAGTTTTAAATTTTTTTTTTTAACTCCTACTGAGTTTTTTTATAGGGATCAGGGAAAAAGTGAAAATTCTGTCTGGAAATTAGAGAAGTCAGTGAAAAAGAAATTAAATTTTTACTCTCAACATTTTCAATAATGTAATTAAAATGAAAAATTATACTATTAAAAATAAAATAAATTGGGTATTACATTTCAAATTAGTTTTTTTTAATTGAACGACTTTCAAAGTGTATTGCAATTAATTATCAAACTTTATCAGAAAAAATAAGTAAGTTGGTGAAAGTGGAAAAATTTTTTCCTAATTAATATAATCAATCGCAAAATATAATTAGCAGGATTAATATAAAAAGTGAAACTGCTCAAGTTTTGGCAATTAAAATATATACGTTTATTTCTTTGCTCTCTAATAATATTCTAAAGCATAAACGATTCTCTAAGGAGGCTCTTAATATTTATTATTTTTAATACTGAGAATTAACTAGATTATTTACAATATTTCTATCATCTCGAAACAATAATAATCATCATAGTCTCTTAATAATAAGGAATAATATATTTTTGTATTTTACGATTTCAATAACTGTAGATTTTTCTATAATAACAATTTTTTTTTCTTAATTAATTGTGTGTCGCAGACATTGTAGAGCCGTAACTAATATTCAGATCTATAGCACTTCTATCACAATTATTGAGGATTCAATATCATAACTTATTCTGCAATTTTTCTCTCTTGCACCGATTGTACGGTTTTTACATTCTCATTTTTTATTTAAAATATCCATTAACATTAAACATGATTTTCTTCATAACAATTTAATTAGTAAAATACTCTGGAATTTCAAAATAGAATATATCCTCTTTCTTTATATAATTAAGTCTCTTTACAATATACAATATTTTATGTCTAAGTTTTTTCTGTCTCTTACGTTCAGTAGCAAAACGAGATTAAAATCATTTATCACTTGGTCGTTTTTTAATTAGTGTAACACACTCGCAACTGTATTTGATTTTTTCATCATTTTCAGAAAATATATTTTATATTTTTTGCCATTTACCAGATTTCGCATTGGAATTAGTTTTTAAAAACGAATTTCGACGAATGCGCAGAATTTTTGGCAAACACGTTTGCAAGTGAATTACTAGAAACTATTGTACGTCTAAAACAAATAATATAATTATTTGTTTTAAGAGTTATTGAATTAGCTGAACAAATTGAATTATTCGAGAAAATAAAAATTAATTGAAATATTTAAATAGCAAAAGTATAAGAATTTTACATGCAATGCGAAAGGAAAAAATTTTTTAAAAATTTTGTCTTTTACAATTTTTATAAGTATATTTTTTTACTAGTTAATGAGTATTTTACGGCTAATGTTAGATTGAGTTTGAGTTCTAAGTTCTTTCTTTATTTGTAAATAAAAAATAAATTCAACTTTGAACTCTAGTTCAATTCCGTTGACTTCTGAACATGAATGTGCTTCAGTTGTACACATTTTTTCCATAGACACACATCATCACCTGAGCGCATTTCGATAAAAAGTGCTAAATTACGAAAGTATCTATACATATATATTTATTTGTTACAATTTTTAAGTATTGCCGCATATTAAAGTATCACGTGCGATCTGTTAGTCCCGATAAATTTTCACCACATCAGAAAATATTTTCTTCATGAAATAACTTAACATTTTTCTGGTATTTTGACAAAAAGAAAACTAATATTCTTATCTGAATGAAAATTTTTTTAAAAATTATTTTAGAAAAATATAATTTATTGATTTTGTTATTAAAAATTATATTTATGGTGTAAAATTACCAATAAAATATTGAGCTGACAAATATTTTTCTCACAGCGTTCTTCAACATTCAAAGTACAAGGTAACAGGCTTCGCACTCAATAGTTTTCTTTCAAACATGTAGCAAAAAGTAGCTTTAGAATTCTTCAAAAATTCGATATTTTCAAAATAATTTTTAAAAATATGAAAATTCATTTTTTTGAAATTATAAAATTTATTTGAATTAAATTTGATAAAATTGTCCATTGATTCGAAATTTAAATAAATATTTTTAATTTTTACGAGCATTTAATGGTACGGTCACAGCTCGGCTGCCTGCCTGCCTGCCTGCAGGTCGTCATGGCAATACATAAGAGTAAGAGAGTCAGACAATTTAAATTATTCGTCTCCTCTCTCTTAATCTCGTGGCGGCTGCCTGCGCAGGCAGGCAGGCAGCCGAGGTGTGACCGTGCCATAATTCCTTCAAAAAAAAATTATTATTTTTATTCGAAAGTTCTACAAAAATAAAAAATTGATAGAATAATTTATTGATTCTGAAAATTGAACACTTAAAAAGAATTTTATTAAAATTTTTGAAAAGAATTACATTGTTCAAGAAATTCATTTCAAACTTAAATTCTGCAAAGAATTTTATTATTTATGAAAATAATTGAATTCTTGCAACGAATTTTATTGTTTATAAAAAATAATTAAATTCTTGCAACGAATTTAATTATTTATAAAAAAAATAATTTAATTCCTGCAACGAATTTGATTGTTTATTAAAAAAAAATTGAATTCCTGTAACTAATTTTATTAAATTTTTATAAATAATTCAATTCCTGGGAAAAATTTTATAATTTGTAAAAATAATTCAATTCTCTTTTTCATTTTATAAAAATTTGAAAGATTAATTCAATTATTTCGAATAACTTAAATAAAATTGTATTAAAAATAATTGAATTCTTGCGATGATTCGTCTTTGTCGTGTGTGTTGTAAATTCTCGATTCGTTTAGGTGTTATGTTTTAATGGTTTTTTTAAGTTGTTATAGTTGATTGTTTTTCAAGTTTTGATATTTGAGACAATTTTGCAACTCATTGCAAAATTGATCAAATATTAACAAACTTTTAAATTTCCTTTAAAGTGTAATTTTTTACACTCACTTCATGTGCGTGAGGAAATAACTAATTTTGTTTCTTATCCCACATAATATTATTTATTGTATATTTTATTTCTGTCTAATATATTTTTACAATATATTAGATAGAATACAGAATATAACATTAAAGAATATTATAAAAGTAAATTCATTTATTCTTATTTAACCTTAAGTTAGATTTTTTGTACCGGAGGTACGGTACAAAGTTGACGGTAAAAGGCAAAGTGGCACGGTGCATCGCCTTTACGAGAGAATCTGGAGACACGTCTGACTCGCCCTGTGTCTCTCGCTCGACTGACTCTCGCTCTCGAAACCTCAACCGTACCGCGCTTGCGCGTAACGGGTGGGGGCAACTCACGCGCTGATTGGCCCTTGCCAAGGTGGAAGGGATTTCGCGGATGCGACTCAGCAGAGGAGCATAAATACCGCGCATTTTCCCTGACTCACTCTCTTACCTCGCCAGCCTTCGAAGGAGAAACACGTCTCTCACGCCAAGAGACACCGACGCCTGCGCGGCGTCGCTGACGCCACGCACTCTCGCCTGCCAACTGTCACTCTGCCGAGTGACGCTCTCAGCCGCCACCTCAACACCGACGCCTCGCTGCCTGCCAAACCGTCAACTGCCTGCCGTCCTCCTCAGGGAAAAATATTTGGGAAATAAATATTTTTATTTGGGAAACGCTGTCTCATCTCTGTTCCGCTGGCCGCGGAACCTCACCATTTCTTCCAACCTGTCCTTTTCAGGACAAACAACAAAACAAATTCTACATTGACAATTAGTCCTTTTCAGGATAAATTGTCAGTCTTTTATAAAAGAATACTTTGGTTCAAAATATAAATCAAAACGTTCCTGTCGCCACGCCGAAGTCTCACGGACAGAGGAAGAACAGGATAACAACCGCCACCTGGACAATACTTCAAGGACGCTCAGCTTACCGGCTCACGTGCACTGATTCCTGTAGAAGGTGCTGGTAAGGACGACCTAAGGCCCATAACCGGGAACTTCTGAGTCCGACCCAGTTTCCCTCAGGTGAGTACACGCCGCCGCCCTCCGGACGACCAGGTGACGTCACTCAACGTCATCCCAAGGATCGACTTTTCAGGGGACTAGTGTTTATCAATACAGCTTGTTCTATAGAAATTTTAAGGCTGCTTTTGAATCCAAATTTTTATCTTTGATGCAAAACGTATACAGCGCTGATCATGCAAGCATTTTATTCCTGTATTTAAAATCGCCAGAACTATTTGTCAAGTTGTGCTTGACCATTTGTACATACGAAGAATTGTATGTAATGCAAGGTATAATTCAGAATTCCTGTTTATTTCAATCGTTTGTTGCCTGTCTAAAATCGAAAGATAAAGAACTTGCCTATCTTAAAGACTCCATTATTCATGTTTTGCAAAACAAGAACTTGCAAAAAAACTCAGAACTTCCACCAATTCTCCAAACTTTTGTGAATTCAAAAATGAATGCTAAAGCTGCAGGAGCGATGATTTTAAGAAAAGCAGCACTGTCAATCATTAAATTTGGAATGAAGAAAATTGCAGCGATAACCTTTAACACACTTGATTTTTTAAAATCCGACTGCTCTTTCCGGCTTCCGTTTTATCCATGGGGAGTTAACTTTCTGAATTTGAACCCGTACCAGGTTCTAGTGTTCAACATAATTTTATCCAGTATTCCTGTGAAGGATGTGACCATTGGGAAGAAAAGGGATAAACAACAGGAAATATGCAGATTGAAGTTATCAGAATTTAAGGTAGATGCGGTAAAGCCAGTGACTGTAATTGAGCATCTTCGTCTATTTCTGAAACTGCACATATTTTATACATCCGTCGAGGAGACCATCGTCGGCAGATTCATCACTCTCGTAGACAGGGTCGACATGATCAGGGAATGCTTGATGAAAGCAACAGACGAGTCATTCACGTTACCGGAGATTAAAGCCATTGGAAAAAACTCCTCTCTTTCTTCAAGACGTGTGCCCAAGAAGATAAATATTATGTTATCGAATCAGATTTTCGTATTTACATGGAAATATTAAAACGTTATTTATGGAAATTGTCATATCAAAGCGACGTGTTTATAAAAAAATACTTTAATTATGAAAGATATATGAACAGCTGCCTAGAATGTTTGATGTATCCATCCGAAGAAGAAAAAACAGACTGGGAGAATGTTTTCGTATCCTGCATCATCATTCATTTATGCATTCCGTTAGAAATTCGACTAGATCAGACCTCTCCAGAGATAGAGGAACTCGTGAAATTAGTCATCAACATTGTACTTAAAAAAGTCTTAATTGTTGATACGCAAATTTCTCGTGAATATAACGAGGAAGATTTTCACAATGCTCCATATAACTTCTTCAATATTATCACGCGTCTCTGCTATGAAGAAGCGGGTTTTGTACCAGGGGGTATCAGTACAAACATTACAAAAGGGATGTTTCCGAAAATGCCCTTCGACTTACTCAGGCCTATAATAAAGGCGGAGGTGAAGCAAGAGCCCGAGTTTCCGAGTCGAGCAGAAGTCGTGAAACGCAAGTCTGCAGGTCAAAAGATACAAGGGAGACTTACCAACCAGAGGAGATCTAAAGATTATGACGAGGCTGACTAGAGGGTCGACTTTTCGCCTCGTCGATCTCCACAATGCATAAAGGCGGAGGTGAAGCAAGAGCCCGAGTTTCCGAGTCGAGCAGAAGTCGTGAAACGCAAGTCTACAGGTCAAAAGGTGGAGCACACAACCATAATTAACAAAATTGTTAATCAGTGTCAGGATGGATTAACCATCACCGAATACCCTGTCAAGGGACAGAGGTTAGTTACCAATAAATGTTTTAATAAAGGGGAGTTTGTTGTCGAATACATTGAAGAGCTAATCAGCGGGAAGGAAGGGAAAGTGCGCGACTCCCAGAGAGATCAAAATCAAATAGGTGATCATTCCTATTATTTCAACCACCGTGGTGCATCGTTCTGCATTGACGCTGCAGCAGACTCTGATCGGCTTGGTCAGCTAATTAACCATAGTCGAAAAAAATTTCAATTCAATGCCGAGACTGTATGATGTTAATGGTGAACCTCATCTAGTTTTTCTTGCATGTAAATTCATTAAAAAAGGTAAAGAACTGCTCTACGATTATGGTGACAGTAGTAAGGAATCTTTAAAAAGCTTTCCATGGTTGAAACATTGATTTCCAGCTGGAACATTTAGCTAAAACCATATAAATTTTTTAAATAATTTATAAGGTAGTCACCAGTTTAACATCATCGGGACCGTTGGGATCATATAACTAACTCTTGATCGTCACTTTGATTTTTAAAATCAATTTTTTTTTAACCATACACACAGATAAAGTTTATCTGACTATCAAACAAGAAAAATCACATAAGAACTATAAAGCAAAAGTAACACCAAAAAGGTGAACCAAAGTTATCGAATAAAGAAAAATTTTTATAATCAAGTCTTAAGGTACCATCCCAAGATGGCGTGAAAGCGTCGGCGTAAAGCGTAAACCATGTGAAACTATGAAAATTTTATTTTTCTTATTTGAATTTTCGCTTTGAATTTTATTAAATTTTTGTTATAAATGGATACTTATGAGAAATTTTATTAACATATATAAATTTATATACATAAAAAAATAAATAAAATAATAGATATTGAAAATATTTTTATTTCAGCGACGAATTTCATTATTTGTGAATATAATTGAATTCTTACAAAAGATTTTCGAAAAAGTTTTAAAATTAATTGAATTGTGTCAAAGAATTTTATTAAAATGCCTCAAAAGAATTAAATTTTCGGGAATAATTTTGTTATTTATAGACATAATTCAGTTTCTGTTGGGGAAATTTGAAAAAACCAATAATTGAATTATTTCAAAAATTTAATTAAAATTGTTTTTAAAATAATTGATTTTTTTCGAACAATTTCACTAAAATATTTGAAAATAAAATTAAAAAAAATAAAAAAAATTCTAATATTTTTGTAAATAATTGAATTATTGCGAAAAATTTTATTAAAATGTTTAAAAAGAATTGAATTTCTGTGGAAAATATTGTTATTTTTGAAAACAATTGAATTCTTCATAAGAATTTTATAATAATTACTTTTTTCGAAATAATAATAAATATTATGAAAATTTTATTTTAAATTCTTGTAGAAAACTTTAAAAAATAATTGAATTTTTCGATTAATTAATTTAAAACAGTATTAAAAATAATTTAAATTCTTCGACGAGTTTTATTATTTATGAAAATAATTTAATTGTTGCTTAGAATTTTATCAGAAATTTTTTTTTTAAAATTGAATTTCCATGAAAAATGTTATTATTAGTGAAAGCTTTCGAATTATTGTGGAGAATTGTATAAAAATTTTTCTAAATAATTGATTTTTTCTAATTTTTTTTTTGAAAATGATATTCTAAATTAATTGAATTTTTGCGGAAATTTTATTAATTAAATAATAAAATTTCATAAATTTTATGAAAATAATTGAATTTTGGATGAATTTCATCATTTTTTTTAATTAATTGAATTGTTTTTTGAAATTTTATGAAAATACTAGATATTAAAAATACAATTTCGAATATTTTTTGAAATTAGGTAATTGAATCTTTTTAAATAATTTGATTACAATTTTTGAAAATAGTTTTTTGATTTCTAGTATTAGCAAATTTAAAGTAGTGGAAATTCTCAAAAAAAATGAGTAGTAACTTTTAGTGTCATAAATTTAAAAAAAGTATTCATATAGTAGCTAATCGTAAAAAAAGTAAAAAATAGTAGATTTTAGTAGATGAGTGCGAAGCCTGAGATAAGTACAACAGAAATTCTCTATTCACTAAGTTGAAAAATTACATTCTCTTCTTCGCAACAGACATTCAAAAATATCAGCGTTTCCTTATTATTTGCATATTGTTTGATTTAAAGCCACAAAATTTGAGTTCATCATTCTACAAACTGTTTAGCCTTCATCATAATGCTCTGGTCTTACAGAGGTAGTATTGATAATGTACATTATGTAAAGTATGGGTGGAATCACGATGTTAAAAACTAGAAGCAACTTAATTGTTTAATAAACCGCCAGTTCCTATAAGGTCATTGCAATAAAATTGTTAAAAAAATACCAGAAACAACACTCTTTTTTTTCAAGAAAATAAAATTCAACTGTTTATTGTCTTAGAAAAAAATATTTTAGTTCACTGACCTCACAAAAAATTATTTTATTAAACAATTAAGAAATTAACCATCGAAGGGATTAAATCTATAATTGTCGAAAAAATATTTCATATTTAATCTTCCATTATAATCTACATTTTATATGTAAAAAAGTATGTAAACTTTGACGAAAGTTATACAAGTGCCGAGAAAAAGTTCGTAATTCACTACTATTGACATATTTATTTCATTAATCTAAGTTTGGCACCATTTTCTTTTGATATAGCATTTTTCGTTTAAATTTTCACTATATGTGAGAACAACACAATAAGTACATAAAACACAAAGAATTTTAACAAAATCTAACGAATTTAATTTTTTAATAAATGAATTGAGAAAAAATATATCTGAATAAAAAAAAGCCAATAAAAAACATTGTTAAAAAATCTAATATCGATATAGAGAAATTATTATTTAGAAAAGAATAAAATTTTTAATTGCAAACAAAATTTTTTAAAGAATTTTTTCATTAATTAATTTTCTAAGAAATTTTCATATTAAAAAAAAATAAATAAGAGAAAAAATATATGAATCATAAATTATTTTCTCTATATTTTGTCAAACTCAAAAAAAATTGGAAAATTTAAAACAATTGGAAAATTTCCGTAAATGTTAAAAATAGATAATTATTTTTTAAAAATAAATTTCTCATTGGTCTTGAAGTGTAAAACAATACAAAGGAGAGTTTTAAATCGATTTTCTGATTTGAGCTCAACACCTCTATAGATAGTTTTAGATTAAAAAGTAATTTCATTTCATGAAAAATTTTAATTATTTTCTATTAGAGTTAATTGAAGTGATAATTTTATAATTTTGGGTCAATTCATTATATTTCACCCGAAGCGGTTGAGGACTATTTTTAGAAAAATCTGATACTTCGTAATAAAAATAAAAAAACGCAGTTTTTGTTAAAATTTAAAAAATATTATTTATTTTAGAAAAAAAGGGATTAAAAAATTTTTTTTTAGAAAAAAGAACTTTTAAATTTTCTATATAAGAAAAAAAATACTTTCATTTTGTAGAAGTTATATTAATTTGAATGTGTGCATCTTCTTTTATCTATTTTCTGGGTAACAAAAAATTTAATTTGAACTTTTAAGGTAAATTCATAAAATTGGCAAAAATGAACTGTACGGATAATAAAAATCATCAATACGAAGTAACAAATTACGGACTAAAAATAGTCCGCAATTGCTTTCGGTGAAATAAAATGGATTGACCGAATTACTAAAAATTATATCTTTTAAAAGAATTGAAATTTTTGATATTAAAATTTTATCTATAAATTGAGATAGGAAGGTATCCAGCTAGACATTTATTCTAAATTCCCTGACTTTCAATGTTGCCCTGGATAGGTAAATTTCGTTACTATGTTTATATAATTAATTTTCTAAACACTGAGAAGTTGGTACAGTGAAAGAAAATTGTCGTAACAACTCGTTGAATTCCAACAGTGTCGATAAAATATTCTATCTAGAAACTGAGAAAATCATTCAAGGGCTTTGAATTGAAATTATTTTAATTTCTAGGATATTTTCAAAAAAATACTTGGATCAGCCTGGACCGCAAGTGCCCCTCATCTCAGTATTGCAGGCCTCGGATATTATGACTTTTTCGATTTTGAATAATTGCAATTTTTGAAAATAAATCATTTTTTCAAGTAGTTTATTACAATTTTTGAAAATTAACATTTGAAAAATTTTAATTACAAATTTTTGAAAATAATTAAATTCACAAAAATTTTAATGAATAATCTTCAAATGTAAATTGAATAAAAATGAAAATTAATGAATATTAGGTTCTAAAAATAATATTAAAATAGTTTTCAAAAAAGGTAATTCTCTGAATTTTTGTTCTAATTTTTTAAAATTCAATTATTTTCAATATTTCCGAAAATTCAAATACATACACAAAATAATAACATGAAAATTTTTTAGAATTATTTTTAACATTTCTCGAAAGAATACAATTATTTTCAAAAATATTAATTAAATTCGATCATTTTCAAGAATTTTAATATAAATTCAATTATTTTTCTCAATTTTGATGAAATTCTTTTTTAAAAAATCATTTTCAAAATTTAAAAAAAAATTCAATTATTTACAGAAACTCAGATAAAATTCTCCGAAACAATTTAATTATTTTTATGAATTATAAAATCCTCCCCAAGAATTCAATTATTTTCGAAATAATAAAATACTTTAAAGGAATTCAATTATTTTTATAAATAATAAAATGTTTCGGAGGAATTCAATTATTTTCAATAAAATTTTAATAAAATTTCACGAAAGAATAAAATTATTTTTAAAAATATTCTTCTGAGAAATTCAATTATTTTTAACAATTCTGATAAAATTCTTGTCAAGAATTCAATTTTTTTTGTAAAAAATAAAATTTTTCTGAGAAATTCAATTATTTTCAATACAATTTGAATTTGATTTCTAGAAAGAAATTCAATTATATATTAAAGATAATTTTAATAAAATTTCTCAAAAGTTTTTAATAAAATTCTTTGTAAATTTCAATTATTTTCAAAATGTTCTATTAAAATTATTTTAAAAAAATGTAATTATTTTTACGAAATATAATGAAATTCTTTTTTAAAAAAATGTAATTATTTACAAAAACTCTAATAAAATTGTTTAAAAGAATTAATTTTCTAAGAATAATTTTAATATAATTTAATTGGAAAATAATTAATTACAAATAATAATAAGCACGATTATTTTAAAAACTTAAAAGAAAATCTTCATAAAATTCAATTATTTTCAAAATTTTCAGTAAAAATAATTAAAAAAAAAACATCATTATTTTCAAGAAAAATTGAAATAAATTCTTCAAAACAATTCAATTATTTTAAAGAATTTTAATAAAAATCTTGCCAAGAATTAAATTATTTTCAATACAATTTTGATTACACTTTCTCGAAAGAATTCAATTATATGAATTTCAATTACATTTATTTACGAATTGCTTCTTGAAATGAATTCAATTATTTTCAAAGTTTTCAATAAATACTTTACAAGATTTTTTTTGGAAAAATTATTAAAAATTAATATAGATAATTGATTCAGAAATAAAGTTTAGATAAAAATTGTAGAAAATAATTGAATTTTTCGAAGGATTATCATTTTTAATTTTTAGAAATTATTAAATTTCAGAAGTTGAAATTTTGAAAATTTTATTTTCCGAGAAAAAAGAAATAAGTAATATTTAAATATTTATTTACCAAAATCGTTCGAGTTGAATTATTTGATTAATTGAATTTAGAAATCAGTGAATAATCAGGGAAATTTGCAACAATTTTACTTCTTAAAAAATAATTGAATTGTTAAAATTTTAGAAATTAATTGATTTCTTTCAAAATATTTTATTAAGAATTAATAAAAAAATTGATTACATTTTCTCGAAAGAATTCAATTATTTGAAAAAATGTTGATAAAATTTTTGAAATGAATTTAATTGGTTTCAAATTTTTTGATAAATACTTTACAAGAATTTTTTTTTTTGAAAAATTATTAAAAATTAATATAGATAATTGATTCAAAAATGAAGTTTAGATAAAAATTGTAGAAAATAATTGAACTTTACGAGGGGTTGTCATTTATAATTTTTAAAAATTTTTGAATTTCAGAAGTTGAAATTTTTTAAATTTTATTTTCCGTGAAAAAAGAAATATGTATTTAAATATTTATTTAGAAAAATTATTCGAGTGAAATTATTTGATTAATTGAATGTAGAAATCAGTGAAGAATGAAAGAAATAGAAAATAAAATTTTTGTCACAACACTAAATTAAATAAATTACTTTTTCGACTCTTTTTTCTATTGTTAGAATAATAAATTAATCGACTAAAGCGATTTTTTTTGCTCGTTAAAGTTGATCCGAGGCCTGCTATTGTTCTCCAAGTCGTTAACGAAGTTGTTTCGTGTTTGTAAACTAATTTTCAGGACCACTTTCTCTTTTCTTGTACTCCCGCGCGAAGAGAGGAAACAAAAAGGAAAAAACAGTAAGGCACGATCTAACCAGGTAAAGGTGCTTCCTCGTAGAAGTCCGGCTCGTCCTCATTGGCGGGCGCTTTGCTGTCGAGGGCTCTCAATTCGGCAGCAGTGAAAAAGTGGATCATTTGAGCGCGCAGGGGAATCATGAGAATGAGGAAAAAGGGGAGAGCCAGTGCTGCGTCAGTGCTTTTCACGATCCACAGTGTCGCCAGGCAGAGGATCTGAATCATCGTGAAGATGTGCATCTTGTAGGTCTGCACCCGCCGAACGTAGTTCGCAGTGCCGTGGTGCTTGACGGGCATGAAGAACAACTTGATTCGATCGAAGAGCTGAACACCGTTCGTGGACGAGATGCCCATGTAGAGGAAGACGCCGATCAACACGGCCATTGGAACTTGCCGGAGCAGGGGAGACATGAGGACGCTGACGCCGACCAGGATGGCGACGAGGAGAGCGCTGACTCTCTGCTCCTTCACTTCGACCACGTGCGGCTTGTCGCCCGGTGCGTGAGTCCTCGACATCACCGTCACCGCCGAGACGTGCGTCAGCGAACGCACCGAGGCGGCCGAGCACCAGGGAGCGCCGATGAACCCGCAGCCCACATTCAGCAGGCACACCACCACGATGTCCATGTGGTAGCCATTGCCTTTTCTCAATTTCCGCTCCTTCTTGTCAATTATTAGCCTGCAATTAGAAATTTTCGAAATTATCTTACTTATTCAAACCTGATTTCTTTAAATTTTAAACTTTTCTCGAAAAAATGAGGAAAATAAAGAGAGAAGGCAATAAGAGATAAAAAATTTTGGGCGTTAATGGGTTAACTATATACACCTACGTGAAATCGAATCACTTTTTCTACTTTATTATTTAATTCAAATCTCTTTATATTATTTCGTGCCTATCATTATTTCCCTAAATGTTATGCTTTTTGCTGTGGCATTTTTGCTTGAAATTAAATAACTGAGTTTCTAAAACATTTGTTTTGGATTTATATTTATATTAAAATAAATTCAGTTTCTTAATGAAGTTTTGTGTCGACACGAAACTAAATTTAATTTTTTAATTTAATTTCGAGTCAACACAAAACTAAATTCAGTTTGTTAATTTAGTTTTGTATAAACCAAACAAAACTTTCAGTCCCTGCTAAAAATAGGCCGCAACTGATTTGGGTGAAAAATAATGGAATGACCCTTAACTATAGGTTTATTGAGTTTTCCCGACAAAAAATACAGTCAGGGATAATTCTTTAATAACAAAGTCGTGGTGCCAGTTAAATAGACCTGAATTTCGAGAATAGAGAGGTAATCTTATAATAAGATTATTTTCGGATAGAAAATAAGAAAAAGAACGGGCTAAAAAGTTAATACAGAATGTGTAAATAAAAGTTACTTGGTAAATAAAGGAGTGGATGGGGGAGAAAGCCTTAGGGGAGAAAAGTCAAAAAAATTATGTGTTTACTGGAGGGCAACGCATCGGAAAACAGAAATATTTTCTTTTCTTGAAGAGGGAGTTGTTAATGGAAAAACGGCAGTAAGTTGAAATTAAAATAGGATATAGGGGAAGTGTTTCAAAAGAAAATTAAGACGGTGTTTGGAATTTATCAGAAGAGCAGGACTCGAACTAGGTCCGTAAAGATCCGTAAATTTCCTTAAAGTCCGTAAAAGTCAGATTATTTTTTAACAAAAGGTCGGTAAAGTCCGTAATTTGATTGAGAAAAGAAGAAAAATTCGTAAATTGTACGATATAATTTAGAGAATTTTAGAGAAATTACAAACGATTGCAGAAATTCAATTATTTTCAAAATTAATAAAATTCTTCGCAAAAATTCAATTATGTTCAAGAATTTTTAAAAATTCTCGTCAAAATTTCAATTATCTTTAGAAATCATTAAATTTTTCTCCGAAATTCAATTATTTTCATAAATTTTAATAAAATTCTTGGCAAAATTTCAATTATTTTCAAAAATTTTCGTCAATTCAATGATTTTTAATATCTACTATTTTAATAAAATTTCTCAAAAGAATTCAATTATTTAAAAAAAAATTTAATAAAATTCTACGCAGACATTTAGTTATTTTCATAAAATTTTTATTTTCATAATTTTCATATTTCAATTTCATAAATAATAAAACTCATTGTAGAATTTCAATTATTTTTAATACAACTTTAATCAAATTTCTCGAAAAATGTAATTATTCTTAAATATTTTATTAAAATTCGTCAAAAGAATTCAATTTTAAGAAACATTCAATTAATCGATAAATTATTTTTTTTCTAATAAAAGTTGATTACAAATTATAATTATTGCAAAAATTAAATTATTTTCAAGAGTAATAATATTCTTTGCAAAAATTAAATTTTATCGAATCGAATTTCTCGAAAAAAATAATTATTCTTAAAAAATTTTATTAAAATTGGTCGAAAGAATTCAATTATTTAAAAATTTGTCGATAAAATCCTTTATGGAAATTAAATTTTAAAAAACATTCAATTATTCAATAAATTATTTTTTTTTGTATTTAAATAATAATTTAATTCTCGTTAAATTTTCTAATAAAAATTGATTTAAACATGAATTTCAGTTAAAATTGTAGATAATAATTAAATATCAAAAGCATTATAGCAAGAATTTTTAGAAATAATTAAATTTTTAAAAATTCTAATTAAATTCTTGCGAAGAATAGTTGAATTGTTTCTAAGAATTTATTAAAATTTTAGGGCATAATTGAAATTTATGAAAATATTTTTAAATATTTGAATTCATCCAAAGAATTCAATTAAAATTATTTTGAAAATAATTAAATTCCTGCAAAGAATTTGACAATTTATAAAATTAATTGAATTCTTGCGAAGAATTTTATTATTTATAAAAATAATTGAATTTTTTTTAAGGATTTATTAAAATTTTAGAAAATAATTGAATTCTTTTTGTGAAATTTTATTAAAATTTTTGAAAATATGAATAGTAATAATTAATTTTGTACTTAATAAGTGAATTTTTTTTAATTTTGATTATGAAATTATTTAAAAAACTTATAGGTATTTGAAAATAAAAAATTTTGTAATTTGCATATCAATAATAAATTGAATATCACGTTCCGCGCGTAACATTTGCTAGTTATTAAAAATAATCGATTTAAAGAAGAATTTTAGTTAAAAATTCTTGAAAATAATAATTGAATTGATAATGATTTTATCACTCGGTCATCTTTAATTATTATAAAACATGAAGAAATCGATGACTTCGAGTCAAAGACTCAAAGTTATCGATATCTTCATGTTTTATATAGTTGATGGAAAATTTAATTTATAGTTTGAAGTAAAATTTTCTCTTATTTGACTCGGATTGGTTATATTTTTGTCAGTAATTGGTCCGTAATTTTTCATTTTTGGTTCGTAAAGTCCGTACTTTTAAATGCTTTCACTGGTTCGACAAGAGACGTAAGAGAGTAGGTAGAATAAAAAAAATGATTAAAAATATAAAATTATTAAAGTTGACTCACTCTGAGATTTGTGTCTCCATGAAGACGAGAATGTAGACCAAGAGAGCGGGAACACAACTGGCGAGAGCAATCCAGAGTGGAATAGGCTTCTCTGTACCAGCTGGTGAGACGATCCAACTGCGTTCGGTGTTTGTTGGTGAAAATCCCTCTGGCACAATTAACTTCTCAGTTTTTACACCCGACATGTAATCAATGAATACAAAAAGAATAATACTGATGGGCACGCCAAAATCACCAAAGGCTCTTCTTGCGCTCCTTCCTAAATAGTGACTATTTCTAAAAATTCTCAAATAATAAGCTCCTAAAAACGTCCCGAGGCACAAAATTGTGCACATCAACGCCGTATTCGGCTGATTAATGAGCCTTCCAAATTTATTATATCTCGGAATGAAGTCGTAACTTTCTTCTAATTGAATCACAGTTCCAGTTTCATTTCCAAATCCCGATATTGTATTGAATAGAGTAACATTTTGCGAAATGGTTTCGTTGCCTTCATTGAAACAGTAGTCCAAGAGCAGAGGATTTGCTGTGAAGTAGTCGTAAATTTTCTTAAAGGCTTCGACTATGTAAATAATGGAGATGAGACCAGTGAAGATTTCCTCCGAGAAACGAGTGAAGAGCCTGACGAGCGCTGAACCCTCGACACAAGCCACGGCCAGCGCAATGATTCCCATCCACGCTCCAATATAGACTCGCATCGTTAGAAATTCGAGTTCGTTGCTTTTGCAAAAGTCAAAAAGACTCTGATCGAAGAGAAGAAGCGGTCCAGTTGTGCCAATGATGACGAGAGGTTGAGTTGCAACAAGAGCCATTATGACTCCAGTGAAACTGCACGAAATTAATGTCTCGGAAATTCCAATCATGTTCGCGGTTTTGCTGCTCATCAAACCGCCGAATGTGATGGCTGTACAGAGAGCGGCAAAGTACATGAAAATTGCCGCTGCAATGCACGAGGAACTCAAGCCATCTGTGAAGTCTGACAGATAAAAAGGATAACGCCTCTTGATGTCGTTGATGAGACCTCCGAAAGGTCTTCTTGTTCTTCTTAAAGGGTCACTGTCATCAGGAGGTTTCTTCTCGTCCTCACCGGCCATTATTGCTGAATAAAATTCGAAACTTGACTTTAAAAATTCAATATGCACTTTTAAAATTATTAAGTTTTTCATTTTTTCAAAAGAAAGCAAAAAAGAAAAGAAAATTTCTCTTGGTGTGTGTGACCTGGATAGTTAAAAGGAACTTTACGCACGAAATAAATTTTTTCCTACTTTGAAGTGCTTGTGTAAAAAATAAATGAAGATAGATCAGGGTTGCCACGAAAATTTAATTTTCTTTTTCCCTGATTTCCAAACAAAATTTTGATTTTTTCCCTGACCCTAAAAAATATTCTGATTCACACTAAAAATTATTCAGGCCTCACAGTCTGTCTCATATTTCCCTAAAAGTCCCTTTTTTTAATTTTGGCCCCTAAACGTACCCTATTTTAAAAATTTCCCCTAAATTTTCCTTATTTTTTTCGTCGCAGAAAACCAATTATTTCCACTAATTTTTAAGTAATTCTGCAAAAGAATTCAATTATCTTGACAACTAACAAAATTCTCCTCATAAAATCAATTACTTTAAAGGATTTTTAATGAAATTCTTTCCCAAAATTCTATAATATTATTTTGATAAATATCAAAATTCTTCTCAAGAATTCAATTATTGTCAAAATTTTTTATTGTCAGAATTTCAAATATTTTTAATACAATTTTAAATAAATTCCTTAAAAAATGCAATTATTATTAAAAATTTTATTAAAATTCTTCGAAAGAATTCAATTATTTTCAAAAATTTTTAAGTAATTTTGCAAAAGAATTCAATTAGCTTGATAAGCAATAAAATCGCATAAATTCTTCCCATAAAATCAATTATTCTAAATAAATATCAAAATTCATGACAAGAATTCAATTCTTTTGAAAAATAATGAAATACTTTGCAGAAATTAAATTATTTTCAAAAATTATTATTTAAATTCTTCTCAGGAATTCAATTATTTATAAAAAATTTATTAAAATTCATCAAAAGTTTTTAATTAATTTCAAAAATTGTTATAAAATTCTTGATGATGAAATAATTAAATGTTTGCATAGAATTTCATTAATTTTTAAAATAATTGGATTTCTGCAATAATTTGTAACTTCTCCGAAATTATATTTTTTTTTAGTGTTTTTAATTAAAATTCTTCTATAAAATAATTATTTTTAATAACTAATGAAATATGTATTAAAAAAATTAACTAATTTCAAAATCTTAAAATTCAATTAATTTTGTAATATTTAGGTAAAATTATTCTTTAAATAATTTCTCAGTATTCTTGTGATTAATATTGTTATTTGTGAAAATAATTGGATTTTACAATGCATTTTTTAAAAATTTCTAAAAATAATTGTATTTTATTGTAAAATTTTTCTACTTATTTAATATTTATAAAGATAATTGAAATATTGACAAATTTTTTTTGAAATTGTTTAAAAATAATTGAATTTTGTTGCAAAATTTTGTTAAATTTAAAAATAATTAAATTTTGCAATAAATTTATTAAAATTCCTAAAAATAATTGAATTTTGCAAAGAATTTTATTAATTTTAAAAATAATGAAAATAATTGAATTTCGGAGAAAAATTTAATTATTTCTAAAGATAATTGAAATTTTCAATTTTTGAGAATTTTGAAAAAGAATTTAATTATTTTTAAAGATAATTGAAATGATGGCGAGGTTTTTTTTGAAATTTTTGAACATAATTGATTTGTTATTATGTTATTTTTATATTTAAAACAATAAAAAATTTAAATTTTGAAAGATTTTAATTTAAAACCTTTTCAAAATTCAATTATTTCTAAAACTTCATGCTATAATGCTTTTAATATTCAATTATTATATCTAAAATTTTGACTGTAATTCATTTTTAAATCAATTTTTATTAGAAAATTCTACGAGAATTTAATTATTTAAATACAAAAATAAATAATTTATTCAATAAATTAATGTTTCTCAAAATTGAATTCTCAAATTCAATTAATTTAATTTATCAACAAATTTTTAGAAAATTGAATTTTCTCGACAAAATTTTATTAAAATTTTTAAGAATAATTGCATTTATCGAGAAATTCGAAAAAAACATTATATTAAAAATAATTGAAATTCTGCAATTAGTTTTATTGTTTATGAAAATAATTGAATCTCGATAAAAAAATTTAATATTTATCGAAATAATTAAATTATTGAGAAGAAATTTTTAAAAAAATTTGTAAATACTTGAATTCCTGTGTAATGTTTATTATTTAATACTAGCCAAACTATACGCGCGCGAGCGCGCGGGAATGTTGTAAGAAGCTGCTTATTTTAAACAATTTAAAAAATTTTAAAGAAATAATTATTATAACCTAACAAAGAGATTTAACTAACTAAAATTCAAATAATTTCACTCAATGGTCTCAATTTAAATAGAATTTACATTACTAGACTTAAACTATGGCTAGAACAATTACAATTAGTATTTTTGAATTTTTTCGAATTTTTGATAATTTTAGATTTTTTACTAAAGAGTCGAACTATTAAATAAGTAAAGTATTTTCTAAAAGCACAAAAATAATGAAGCTAAATCCCATAAAAGAGAGGAAAAAATGTTGAATTTTAAGAAAAACGGATTTTTGAAATTTTTCCAATTTTTGATAATTTTAAATTTTTTACCAAAGAGTCGAGACTATTAAATATGTAAAGTATTTTCCAAAAGCACAAAAATAATGAAGCTAAATCCCATAAAAGAGAGGAAAAAATGTTGAATTTTAAAAAAATCGGATTTTTGAATTTTTGATAATTTTCGATAATTTTACATTTTTTACCAAAGAGTCGAGACAATTTAATAAGTAAAGTATTTTCCAAAAGCACAAAAATAATGAAGCTAAATCCCATAAAAGAGAAGAAAAAATGTTGAATTTTAAGAAAATCGGATTTTTGAATTTTTTCGAATTTTTGATAATTTTAGATTTTTTACTAAAGAGTCGAACTATTAAATAAGTAAAGTATTTTCCAAAAGCACAAAAATAATAAAGCTAAATCTCATAAAAGAGAGGAAAAAATGTTGAATTTTAAGAAATTCGGATTTTTGAATTTTTGATAATTTTCGATAATTTTACATTTTTTACCAAAGAGTCGAGACAATTTAATAAGTAAAGTATTTTCCAAAAGCACAAAAATAATAAAGCTAAATCCCATAAAAGAGAAGAAAAACTGTTGAATTTTAAGAAATTCGGATTTTTGAATTTTTGATAATTTTCAATAATTTTACATTTTTTACCAAAGAGTCAGAACAATTTAATAAGTAAAGTATTTTCCAAAAGTACAAAAATAATAAAGCTAAATCCCATAAAAGAGAAAAAAAACTGTTGAATTTTAAGATAATCGGATTTTTGAATTTTTTCGAATTTTTGATAATTTTAGATTTTTTACCAAAGAGTCGAGACAATTTAATAAGTAAAGTATTTTCCAAAAGCACAAAAATAATGAAGCTAAATCCTATAAAAGAGAGGAAAAAATGTTGAATTTTAAGAAATTCGGATTTTTGAATTTTTGATAATTTTCGATAATTTTACATTTTTTACCAAAGAGTCGAGACAATTTAATAAGTAAAGTATTTTCCAAAAGCACAAAAATAATGAAGCTAAATCCCATAAAAGAGAGGAAAAAATGTTGAATTTTAAGATAATCGGATTTTTGAATTTTTTCGAATTTTTGATAATTTTAGATTTTTTTACTAAAGAGTCGAGACAATTTAATAAGTAAAGTATTTTCCAAAAGCACCAAAATAATGAAGCTGAATCCCATAAAAGAGAAGAAAAAATGTTGAATTTTAAGAAAAACGGATTTTTGAAATTTTTTGATAATTTTCGATAATTTTAGATTTTTTACCAAAGAGTCGAGACAATTTAATAAGTAAAGTATTTTCCACATTAAAAAGTTTGACATTAAAAAATATATAAAAAATGCCAATACTTAACCCACAAAATTAAATTTTCAAAACAAACAAAGGAATGCAGATAATTTGCTAACGGAAAGGAAACTTACGATTATTATAATGTATATATTTATATTTATATTTATGTATTTATAAAAATAATTTAATGTTTTTGAAAATAAATTTAAATTTTGCTCAAGAATTTTATTAAAATTGTTTGAAAATAATTGAATTTCGGAGAAGGATTTAATTATTTCTAAAGATAATAATTGAAATTTTCAATTTTGGAGAATTTAATTATTTCTAAAGATAATTGAAATTATGCCGAGGATTTTTTTTAAATTTTCGAACATAATTGAATTTTTGCAAAGAATTTTATTACTTATGAAAATAATTGAATTTTTGCATTTGTACCTAACTTTTCCGAAATTCAATTTTTTTAGTATTTTTAACTAAAATTCTTCTATAAAATAATTATTTTTACTAACTAATTAAATATGTATTAAGAAATTGAACTAATTTCAAAAGAATTAGCAGATATGCGCGGTTTATTCCATTAAAAAGAAGAGATATTTTCCTTTGCGAATTATCCAAAAAGTGGAAATTGATTTTTTCGAACGTAAGGTCCCTTTTATGGTCACGTTTTATAAAAACTGGAATCTGAAGAAATGGAAGTTTGGGAACACTAGGGGACCAGGCAAAATGGAATTTGTCAGTATTTTCCTTCGCGATAAAAAAGTAACTCATACTTTGAATGAAGATAATAGTCACCCACCCTTTTTAATAGCAGCATCACTGACGGTTGACTTCTGCTTCTTGGCCTCGATGGCATTGGCCTTCCTTTTCCTGATCGCCTTACTCTTCGCTCGGAGTTCATCGAAAGGCAGCAGGGCCTGTCTCTCCCAATCCCCAGGTGGTAGTACGATGGAATCGTCCAGAAACTCGTTGATAGCCGAAAGTAATTCTCGCCTCTCGTTAGCTTTGTAAGCCACTTTGTGGAAGGACGTGTTTGACATTAAAGTTGATATGGAGCGACCGATCTCGTGATAGTCGAGATCTGCGTTTCGAGGACCCAGCAGCATGAACATAAATCTCACTGGTATGTTGACTTCGGTGATGTTAGGCATGAGGACGCCTTCCGCCAGTCTGACGAAGGCGATGGTGGGCTGATCGAGGAAGTCGACGGCGCCGACGAGAACGACTGTCGCCTCAGCCCCAACGGGAATCCTCTTGAGAATATAATCGTTTTGCACTTTCTTCAAATCGTCATTGCTGCTGGTGAAGGTCAATTCTTCCTTCATATCGATTGCAGTGTTATTGGTGTCGAGGGCCAAATTTGATGCAATCTTCGGCTTGGCGTCGTTTAAATTCTGAAAGACAATTTAAAATTAAAAACATGTACTCTTCTTGTATGGAGGGTTTTTTTAAAAGAATATTCCTTAAAGCTGTGTTTTGAATATATGAAGCAGAATTTTTTGCGATGTTTGAAAACGAAATTGAATATTCAATGTTTCGTGGATGCAATAAAACCTATTTTCGATTTTATTATACAAATAAAATGATGGAGTACTTGAGAAAACAAAATAATATTCTTTAAATAAAAAATTTTATTTGTCAATCCTAAAATGTAAGGTTGGTGAAAAATCCATGAGCGTTTAAGGTTTAATAATTAACTCAAAGTCACTGAATGAGGGACAAATTGTTTGCTGAGTTCACAAATTATTACCCAGACGAAAGTAATTTGTTTGTTGCACTGAGAAACGTTTAGCACAGCATCGGATAGGTTTCAATGATCTTTTTCTTTTTTTTTTAAGTAAAGGAAATTAATTTTTAAATAAACTTAAACCTTTTCACTTTTTCCCTGGTCCTAAAGAATATTCTGATTCACTCTCAAAATTATTAGATATGTACTCGAAAAATTTTCTATTACATTTATTTACGAATTTCTTTAATTGTAAAATTATTCCAAAATATCAATAACTTTTTTTTAAATAAATATTTAATCATTATTATTAAAATTTTTCAAAAAGAAATTTAATTATTTTCATAAATAATAAAATTTTTCACAGGATTTCAATTATTTAAAAGAAATGTAATAAAATTCATTGCAAGAATTCAATTATTTTCATAAATAACAATATTCATCACAAGAATGCAATTATTTTTAAAATTAATAAAATTCTTCGCAAAAATTCAATTATTTTTAAACAGTTTTAAAAAAATTGTCTTCAACATTTCAATTATCTTTATAAATAAGTAGCAAAATTTTGCAACAAAATTCAATTATTTTTAGAAATTTTTATAAAATTCATTGTAAAATTTAATTATTTTCAAAATTAATAAAATTCTTTGCAAAATTCAATTATTTTCAAATAATTTTAAAAAAATTGTCGTCAACATTTCAATTGTCTTTATAAATAAGTAGCAAAATTTGACAACAAAATTCAATTATTTTTAGGAATTTTAATAAAATTAATAAAAATTCATTGCAAAATTCAATTATTTAAAAAAATTTTAATAAAATTCATGTCAAAATTCCATTTATTTTCAAAATTTTTTTTTAATTGAATTCATTTAAAATTGAATATTTATAAAATTACAGATTGAAATCTTTTGAAGTTCAGAATTTTTTATGAATTATAAAAAATTAATTTTTTTTATTATTTATAAAAATACTTAAATGTTTGCTTAGAATTTTATCAAATTTTTTAAAACGAAGTTTTTTAAATTTTCTGAATGAATTCATTTAAAACTGATTATTTATAAAATTACAGATTGAAATCTTTTGAAATTCAGAATTTTTTATGAATTAAAAAAAATTAATTTTTGAAGAAAATTAATTCCATAGAATTTTTAATTAAAAATATGAAAATTTCAAATTTTTCTTCTTGAAACTTTCTTGAAAAAAATTAATTTTACAGAATTGTTATTTAAAACTATGAAAAATTTAAATTTTAAAAGATTTTAATTTGAAACCTTTTCAAAATTCAATTATTTCTAAAAATTCATTTTGTAATGCTTTTAATTTTCAATTATTATATCTAAAATTTTAACTGAAATTAATTTTTAAATCAATTTTTATTAGAAAATTCTACGAGAATTTAATTATTTAAATACAAAAACAATAATAATTATTCGGTGAATTAATATTTCTTAAAATTAATCTCTCAAATTTATAATTAATTAATTAATATAATTTATCAACAAATTTTTAAATAATTAAATTTTTTCGACGAAGTTTCATTAAAATTTTCAGGAATAATTACATTTTTCGATAAATACGATTAAAAAATTACATTAAATATTGTTTATGAAAATAATTGAATCTCTGTAAAAAATTTTATTATTTATGAAAATAATTAAATTATTGAGAAGAAATTTATAAAATAAATAGTTGAATTCCTGTGAAATTTTTATTATTTATAAAAATAAATTAATGTTTGCTTGGAATTTTATAAAAAAAATACTTTTGAAAATAATTGAATTTTGGTGAAGAATTTTATTATTTTTATTATTTTTAAAGATAATTGAAATTAGGACGAGGATTTTTTGAAATTTTTGAACATAATTGAATTTTTACGAAGTATTTTATTAATTTTGAAAATAATTGAATTTCTGCAATTATTTGTAACTTCTCCGAAATTCAATTTTTTAAGTGTTCTTAACTAAAATTCTTCTATAAAATAATTATTTTTAATAACTAATTAAACATATTATTAAAGAATTCAACTAATTTGAGAAGAATTTTAGTTATTAAAATATATTCAAAAATCTATTAGTTTGTTGAAATTTCTAATTAAATTTATTTAAAATTGAAATATTAAAAAATTACAGATTGAAATCTTTTGAAGTTGATCTATTTATGAAAATTGGAAGTGCAACTCTTTTAAAATTCAAATTTTTAAATATTTAGGTAAAGTAATTCATTAAATATTTTTTAATTGTAATAATTCTATTATAGTTTTTCAAGAATGAAGTTATTTAAAAACAAATTATTGTCAGAAGTAGAAAAAATTGAAGTTTTTATATTAGAATTCGTAGTATAATTTCATAGTTTATATAAGGTTAACGAAAAAGACGACAAAATTCAAAATTTTTTTTATGAATCCAAAAAATTAAATTTTTTTTCGTACTTTCATAAAAATCCCTGACTTTTCCCTGATTTTCCTGACCAATTCTATTTTTATTTTTATTATTTATTTATAACAAATAAATAAAAAAAATAAAAGGGAATTTCCTGAATTAGGTACAGAATCTGAAACAGAAACTGTGCTCAACTTCTCTCAGTGCAGTCATGACTTTTTTTCCTTGTTGCAAACTGCATTTTTATACTTCAGAATTCAGAATTAATAAAAAGTATAAGGAAGAAACCAAAAATCTAAAAAGAACCCAATTAGTCGAAGAAGACGGGACTCATTTCATTTTTATAGAATTAATGAAATGTTAAAAATGTTAAACACAATATTTCAGAAATCACAAAACTAAATAAATGTACGATTCATAATATCCATGCACAAGGAATTTTTGATGCTACCCTATAAGTAAAAGTAGCAGAATATGGTTAGTATTGTCTCATAAAATAAAAAATGAAACCAACTAAAAACGAAGTCACAAAGAATGAAGCTGGAAAAAAAATAACCATTTAATTTCACAAACTTAGGGGAAAATATTCATTATGTAAAAAAAGATTAATCCCTGAAATCGAGGTTAAAGTTTTTCCCCTAAATTAAAAAATAAACACATACTAATATTTTAAAAAAATTAATACATGAAGTATTGAAAATAGAACACGATGAATAGAAGTCTAGCGAGATGTGAATATTGATTCAGGGATACTTGAGTAATTTACATTTTTATTTACATGACTGGGAACAGCTTCCCGCGTAGTATCTTCCTCCTCAACCCAGACAGACTGAAAATAATATTAGGGCACCATGAGTCTTCACTGATTTTTAATTCTTTTCTTCCAGGAAGAATCTATTTTTTTCTAGCCTACGAATCCTCAATTGCTAGATAGATCATCTTTGGAAATGAAAACTTTTGCGGAATCTTTGGAATTTGGATTTTTCTTTGAAAGCTTGTCAGGAATTTAGAATTCTCGCTGTGAGGAGATATATAGTTCAAAAGCTTATTTAAAAATAATTCTGTTTTGGGATAAAAATAGTACACTTAATTGGACACTACATTTTTATACATAAATTATGAAGCCAATGATAAAATTCTTAATAGCAACTTTTTTTTTACTGATAGTAAATTTTCTTTTCATTCAGAATCAAACTTTTAGTATCTAATGTCAAACAAAAGATAAAAATAAAAAATTAATATTCGATTTTGTTTACGGCTCTATTGTTGGCTAATAAACATGTCTTGAGAAGAAATACATGAAAAATGTAAATAATGATTTCATTTTTAAATAAATATTTTATCAATGTTATTTTTCCATTTTCAAAAATTCCAAAATTTAAACCTTCTGAAATACAATAACTGATAAAAATATTATTCCTTTAAAATTATTTTCATCATTTCAATTCAATTCTTATTTCCTACAATTTTAAAAATAAAATTCTTCTTTAAATAAATTATTTTTAATAACATTTGAAAAAGTTCTTCCAGAGAATTTTCAAATCCATTTGTTTACAATTCAATTTTACTTAAAATTTTTTTTGAAAATAATGAAAGTTTTAACAAGAATTTTATTAAAATTTTTGAAAATAATTGAATTTAAAAAAAAATTACTTTTGATTTTTGAATATAATTAAATTTCTGCAATCATTTGTAACTTCTTCAAAAATTCAATTTTTTTAGTGCTTTTAACTAAAATTTTTCTATACATCCGTTATTTTTAATAATTAACTAAACATATTATTAAAAAATTTAACTAATTTCAAGAGAATTTGCATTATTAAAATTTTTCAAAATCGAAGCTTTTTTAATATTTTGAATTAAAATTGAATTAATTTTGAAATATTAAAGTAAAATTATTCATTAAATAATTTCTAACTAATAATTTTCTGATGGTACTTCAAGATCTTTGAAAAGAAATTATTGTCAGAAATAGAAAAAATTAAAGGTTTTTAATTAGGATTCGTTATAATTTCATAGTTTATAAGTCAAACAAAAGACAAAAAAATTCAGAATTTTCTTATAAATTATAAAAATTTAATTTAAAAAATTTTAATTATTAGTAAATTCTCTAAAATTCAATTATTATCTAAAACATAGATAATTTATTAAATAACTGAATGTTTCTTAAAATTGAATTCTTATACATAATTTTTAAATAATTGAATTTTTTCGATTAATTTTAATAAAATTGTTACGAATAATTTATTAAAATAGTAGAATATTGAAAATCATTGAATTAAGAAAACTTTTGGAAAATAAATGAAATTTTGTCACGAACTTTATTAAAATTTTTGAAAAGAATTGAATTTTGCAATGAATTTTATTAAAATTCCCAAAAATAATTGAATTTTGTTGCAAAATTTTGCTACTTATTTATAAAGATAATTGAAATGTTGACAACAATTTTTTTTAAATTGTTTAAAAATAATTGAATTTTGCGAAGAATTTTATTAAATTTGAAAATAATTGAATTCTTGTGATGAATTTTGTTATTTATGAAAATAATTGAATTTTGCAATGAATTTTATAAAAATTCCTAAATATAATTGAATTTCGGCGAAGAATTTTGCTATTTATAAAAATAATTGAAATGTTGACGAGAATTTTTTTTAATTTTTGAAAATAATTGAATTTTTGCGAAGAATTTTATTAATTTTCAAAATAATTGAATTCTTGTGATAAATATTATTATTTATAAAAATAATTGAATTTTGCAATGAATTTTATAAAAATTTCTAAATATAATTGAATTTTGGCGATGAATTTTGCTATTTATAAAAATAATTGAAATGTTGACGAGAATTTTTTTTAATTTTTGAAAATAATTGAATTTCTGCGAAGAATTTTATTAATTTTAAAAATAATTGAATTCTTGTGATGAATTTTGTTATTTATGAAAATAATTGAATTTTACAATGAATTTTATGAAAATTCATTTATAAAGATAATTGAAATGTTGACGAGAATTTTTTTTAATTCTTGAAAATAATTGAATTTTTGCGAAGAATTTTATTAATTTTAAAAATAATTGAATTCTTGTGAGATAAATATTGTTATTTATGAAAATAATTGAATTTTGCAATGAATTTTATAAAAATTCCTAAATATAATTGAATTTCGGCGAAGAATTTTGCTATTTATAAAAATAATTGAAATGTTGACGAGAATTTTTTTTAATTTTTGAAAATAATTGAATTTTTGCGAAAAATTTTATTAATTTTGAAAATAATTGAGTTCTTGTGATAAATATTATTATTTATAAAAATAATTGAATTTTGCAATGAATTTTATAAAAATTCCTAAATATAATTGAATTTTGGCGATGAATTTTGCTATTTATAAAAATAATTGAAATGTTGACGAGAATTTTTTTTTGATTTTTGAAAATAATTGAATTTCTGGAAAGAATTTTAATATTTTTAGAGATAGTTGAATTCTTTTATAGAATTGCGTTAAAATTCAAAAAATTGAAATTAATTTTAACAGAATTGAAATTAAAATTTTTCACAAAAATACTTGATTAAATAATTCATGAGTAATAACTTTGTAGCAGTTCTTCAATAGAATTAAGTTATTTAAAATAAAGTATTGTCAGAAATGAAAAAATTTGAAGGTTTTGTATTCGTGGTAATTTCATAGTTGTTGAGACAAACAAAGACACAAAAATTCAGAATTTTCTTATAAATTCGAAACATTAAATTTTTTCCAGTACTTTTAATAAAAATCCCTAACTTTTCCCTGATTTGAAGGAAATGAATTCATCATTCGGTAATTAAATATTAAAGTTGAAAGAAATTTCTTTTTCCAGATTTTCCTGACCAATTTTACTTTTCCTGACTTTTCTCTGAATTCCCTGATTTCCCTGACCTGTGGCAACCTGTGGCAAAAGATTCTTTTATCAAAAGGATGAAGATGATTAAAATACGAAAACTTAAAGAAAATTACTATTTTCCAGTTTTTCTTCTCGAGACGTGTTTTGTTTTGTTCAAAAGACTAAAAAATAGAGCGAATTTTTCGTCGATCGTTGGTGGAATAAAGAAGGTATTATTCACCTGCAAGCTCGTGTAACTGGAATAGTTCCTTTTGAACCTAAATCCCCTATCGTGCTCATTAACGTGCCTGTGCCTCAGGAGAAGAGCTCGCATCACCACAGGTCGATCCTCAGGCAAAATAAGTTCCTCGATAACCATTTGCTCCACCACTCGATAGGCCAGTCCCGGTAGGTCCTTTTCCTCGAGATCCAATAGAACGACACCAGTCTCGAGACATCGTCGAAGATTGAGAAGAGAGTGAAAGCTGAGGGAGGCCACGTGAGGTCTTCCCCATCGGTCGGCGCCTTCCTCAACGTCCTCCTCATACTTGATCCACCTCGCGGTCTCTCTCCACTCGCGTTCCTCGCCGAAGCCGTGCAATTCGTCCAGCTGAACGAAGACCTCGTGCGGCGAGTGGTCGTACATTTTCTTGAAGGTCTCGTGCGGAATGCCGCCCTCTTTTCTCCGACCGATTTGCACCGTTGGATGCGCCTTGTGCCTCCGCATGCCCCGAGGATCATCGCTCCTGTGCGACTCGAGGTCGTCGATGTCGAGTTCCTGGAGGGTCCGGGCCTCTTCCGGTTGGACGCTCACCCGCCGACCCATAAGACCAGCGACGTCTGGAAGACCTGCGCCCGATCTTTTCCTCCATTGCGGGTCTTCTTGGAGCGAGTACTTTCGTGATTTATGATGATGGTGATGATGATGTCGCCTATAACAGGAGAAAAATTAGGATTAGATCAATTTTTTTTTTCAATTTTCGCTTAGGGGGATTTTTCTTTATGTCAAAAAAAAAGATAGTATTTTGGATTCTCCAAACAAAGGGATAATTAACAAACAAAATCAAAAAGTTGTCATTAAAAAATCAAGTCCATACAGTTTATTGTCTAATTAGATATCAAGCAGGCAATTAAAGTAAAAGATGGTAAGATTCCGTATTTTCTTTTTCATAACGCGGTGCAAAAAAAGGCACTTTTTTGCACCTTGTTATGAAAAATATCGTTCGTAACTAGTGCTAGCAGTTGCCAATTTTTGAAAGAGCACTTTTTTTGGAACAAACTGTAGGCGAAGCTTCGCTTCGCCTACAGTTTGTTCCAAAAAAAGTGCTCATTCAAAAATTGACAACTGCTCGCACTCGTTACGAAATATACTATTTTTTAACTGATTGCTAAGATAATGTACCTAGATCTGACAAGGGTCCTGGACCAATTACTGATAAAAATATAAATTAATGTTTTTCAAAATAGAATTCTCAATTAATTAATTAATTTAATTTATGTACAAATTTTTAAATAATTGAATTTTTTCGACGAATTTCAATAAAATTTTCAATATTAATTTTAGAACTACAGTCAGGTCCCCATACTGTTAGATTCCAAACTGTTATATCCTCAGTAGTGTTATGTTTTTGCATAACCTCCAAATTCAGAAGTGTTAGGTGACGTCACGTTACGTCACCAATTTTCAGGGCCGTATTCTTAAGCCCAAAGAAAAGGGGGCATATACTTCTAGGTCAAACTTGAGGTGTATATATATTTACGTTCCTGAAAGGTGCGCAGTAGGCATACTTTGAGCACATAACAGAGCTGAGTCTGGAGGAGTGGGAAATTTCTGGAAATATAACAGTATGGGGACCCGACTGTATGTGAGAAAAAATCATTTTTTGAAAAATTTGTTCTTCTAAAAAAAAAGAATTGAATTTTGGAAGAATTTGAGTTGCAATTTTTAGAAATAGTTAAATTCCAAAAGGATTTTCATTGAAATTATTAGAAATTTTAATTCCTGTATAAAAATAAATAAAAATAAGTGTTTAGAAATTTGTTTAACAAAAAGTATTCGAAGTTTTGAATAATTTAATTTAGAAATTCTGAATTATTTTTAATATTCAATAATTTATCTAAAATTTTAACTAAAATTCATTTTTATTAAATGAAAATCAATTTTTATTAGAAAATTCTACGAAAATACAATTATTTAAATGCAAAAATAAATAATTTATTGAAACATTGAATGTTTCTTAAAATTCAATTCCCATAAAGGATTTATCAACAAATTTTTAAATAATTGAATTCTTTCGACCAATTTTAATAAAATATTTAAGAATAATTACATTTTCAAGAAATTCTATTAAAATTGTATTAAAAATAATTAAATTCTTTTGGGAAATTATATTTTATTAAAATAGTAGATATTAAAAATCATTGAATTAAGAAAAATTTTTGAAAATAATTATTATAATTATAACAATTTATTGAATAATTGCATGTTTCTTAAAATAGAATTGTTATAAAGAATTTTATTCACAAATTTGTAAATAATTGAATTCCTTTGACGAATTTTAATAAAATTTTAAAGAATTTTTTCGAGGAATTCGATTTAAATTGTATTAAAAATAAATTAAATTCTGCAATGAATTTTATTATTTATGAAAATAATTGAATTCCTAAAAAGAATTTTATTATTTACGAAAATAATTGAATTTCGAAGAAGAATTTTATTGTAAAAAAGTAATTGGAATTTTGATGAGAATTTTTATAAATATTTGAACATAATTGAATTTCGGCGAAGAATTTTATTACTTTTTGAAAATAATTAAAATTCCACAATCATTTATAATTTGCTTCTAAAATTCAATTTTTTTTTAGTGATTTTAACTAAAATTCAATTTTTAAATCAATTTGTAATAGTAAATTTTACGAGAATTCAATTATTTAAACACAAAAATAAATAATTTATTGAAAAATGGAATGTATTTTTGAAAATAAATGAAATTATTGCGAAGAAATTTAATAAAATTTGTAAATAATTGAATTTTTGTGAAATTTTTCTTATTTAAGAAAATAATGAAATGTTCGCGTAAAATTTTATTGGAAATTTTGAAAAATAATTGAATTCTTTTGGAAAAATTTATTAAAACAGTAACTTTTGAAAATCATTGAATTGTGGAAAATTTTTGAAAATAATTGAATGTTTGACAAGTATTTTATTAAAATTTTCGAAAATAATTGAATTTCGGAGAAGAATGTTATTATTTACAAAGATAATTGAAATTTTAACGAGAATTTTATTATAATTTTAGAAAATAATTGAATTTCTAAAAAGAATTTTATTATTTACGAAAATAATTAAATCTCCGTAAAAATTTTATTATTTATGTCTTATGAAAATAAATGAAATTATTGGGAAGAAATTTAATAAAATTTGTAAATAATTGAATTTCTGTGAAATTTTCATTATTTCAGAAAAAATGAAATATTCGCGTAAAATTTTATCGGAATTTTTTTAAAACAATTGAATTCTTTTGGAAAATTTTATTGAAATAGTAGATATTGAAAATCATTGAATTGAGGAAAATTTTTAAAAATAATTGAAATTTTGCCAAAAATTTAAAAAATTTAATCAAAATTGTTTGAAAATAATTGAATTTCGGAGAAGAATTTAATTATTTCTAAAGAGAATTGAAATTTTGACGATAATTTTTTTAAATTCTTGAAAATAATTGTATTTCTGCGAAGAATTTTATAGGTATTACTTTTGAAAGTAATTTGAATTTCTGCAATCGTTTATAATTTCTCTAAAATTCTCCAAATTATATCGTACAATTTACGAACTTTTCGATCTTTTCTCAATCAAATTACGGACTTTACGGACCTTTTTTGAAAAAAAATTACTTTTACAGACTTGAAGTAAATTTACGGACCTAATTCGAGCCCTGCTAAGATGAAAATCAATATTCTACAGATAAAAATGAGTAAAATTAAGCACTAAACGATTTCAAGATAATTTAAGAAATTAGTGCAATATTAGTAAATCAAGAAAAAAAGGATTGAAAAGAAAGAATAATTCTTTTCTATAAAAGAAAAGAATTTGATAAAATTAAGGATTTCGACATAAAATATGAGAATAGTAGTCACGAGATTTTGCACGTGGATTTTAACGACTTTTGGCAATGCTTACCGATGTGTCTCGATTAAAGTTCTTGTACTCGATTCGTTAAGCGACTCACGCAACGATGCATGAGGAATTTTTAATGAGCAAACATTGTGACTCACTTGATTATAATACTATGTCTCGTCGGCTGGCAATATTTTTTTTTGCTTGAAAGTCTTCAATCGATTTCCGTGAACGTGAACTTGCACTCTCTGTATACTTTCGAAGCGATTTGCAACAAATGGTGTGCTAATCATGGCTCTTTGGCACGCGACCCCGGTAATGAAATTCTCGTCTGGCTCGACTCATCATCAGTAGAATTCAAGTTCACGTCCCTAGACTAAAGAACTTGAGACAGGAAACTTATGAAGCATTGACGCAAGTCGTCATCATCGACTCACGATGGTTCACCAAGAAGGTTTTCTCAATTTTATCCACTCAATTCCCTTTTTGGAAATTAAAACTCAAACTTTCAAGAAATCAATTATATTTCAAACTTTCAATAAATCAATTACACTGAAACCCCACTTATTTGAACATGGTCCACGCAATTCGACACGAAGTGTCGCGTTTATTTGTATTTTGGTCGACATAACCTATGTTGGTGACGTAATTCGATAAATTGACATGATTGGTTGGTTTTGTTTGAACTCAACCAATGGGAATGTAAGTATCTTTCCATTGGTCGAGTACTGCGCATGAGCTAAAATAAGTGAGGTTAGGGCTGATTCTAACTAAAAATAACTGAAGCAAAAACGGGTTCAAATAAACGCGACTTTAAGTAAACGAGATTTTAAATAAGTGGAGTTTCAGTGTATTTTACGATAAATTCTAAATATTTATTTGTAGGAAGGAAAAAGCAATCTTAAACTGGTACCAAACAGAGTTGAGGATTTTCAAAAATTCATCAGTCATTTCGAGGCTTTTATCAATTAAAATTTAAAATTAAAACTTACAAAAGGAAAAGTTACATTTATCAACTTAAAATTTCGAAAACTAATTTTTATGATTCGAATTTACGCTACGAAATAGAAATTTTGAAGAATTAAAAAAGAAAAATATATTCGCGTGCTTCTAATCTTTATTGCGGCTAGTCAAGAATTATTTTAAATTATGGTTATTACGACTACACATAAATTAGAATTAATCAGTAAAATTTCAGTACAATTAATTTACATAATTAAAACTTTCGAACAAAAAATAAATTTTCGAAGAATTAATTTTTACTAAATGGAAAACCACCGAAATGAAAGTAATTGAAGTTTCATTTCGCAAAAGGGAAAAAGAGAGAATTGACAGAATTTCCTTGATGGTGATATCAGTTTGTAATTACACTCATGTAAGCAATGCAAGAAAGCGGGAATCCGTTCGTCCGGTTGTCACGACACAATCATCACAAACCGTCTGATGTCACCAATGCGGTCCTGAGAACGATCGTAGCTGACGGGCATGGATGCAAAGGGCTACCAGGTAGAACTAAGCAAAACAACTCAAGTCCCCTGACAGTCGGTTGACACAAGCTTGGCACCCACCTGAGCCGCAGACACACAACGACGACGCGGTCGCTCCAATTAAATTCAAAACAATGACAGCGAGAGCTTCACTCTCAAAGCATTTTTCACCCCTTCACCACCTCTCTGGTCCGTCGAGCTAAACCTGGCCAAAGGCCATCTGAACACCATTTCTCAACCTCTATAGCTCGGGGTGCGTGAAAGCTTCTTCTATACACGGAAAGGAAATCCTTTGCAAAGGAAAAGAATAAAAAGCAAAATTGTAAGTAAC